CGTTCGAGACGTTCCTCGAACGAGCCAGGCACATCCAGGCCAAGGGTCTGCAGGACCATCTTCAAGTCAACGTCCAGAGCGTCAACAATGGCACCTCGGTTGCGAACTGGTCTTTGGGAACCGATCAAATCACCCGTCTCAGTATTTTGGTGAGCGTTGACGATGTGAAGTTCCTTCTTCAATGCCTCAGCCAGCAGTTGGACAACTGTTGTCTTTCCGCAACCAGTTTCACCAACCAACAGAACCGGTTCATTGTTGCGCAATGCTCGGGCAACAAGAACATAGAGTCGTCGCATTGCATGAGTCCACACCACGCCCTGACTGTTATCCTTTCGGCTAATCCCCTTGAGTTCTGGGGCGGTGGTAACAGAGTACAGGTCCTGAGGATCAATCTTGACTTTGAAGACCTTCTCGATGACTTCCTTGACTGCGATGCGCTCCTCCTGGTCGCGGACTCTTTCCGCCAACAGCATGAATCCATGAGCAGCGATTTCTTCACGCGTCTCGGCATCTCGCAATGCCCAGCGGAACAAGTCTCGGAGAGTGGCAAAACTGTCCTTCTGCTCAAATAGTCGGCTCGTTTGTCGAAGCCGGGACAGCTCCTTGTAAACAGTCACGATTCTTCGACAATCCGGAGGCGAAGTGTTGCGGCTTCGCTGCTGGAGAATAAACTCCAGCTCGTCTTCGGGAATGTCGTCGAAGTGAAGCTCCAAGAATCGGTTTCGGAATGCTCTTGACAGAACCTTTCGACCGCCATAGAGACCAGGGGGGTTCTGAGTTGCAAAAAGGATAAAGTTTTCGTGGGGTCTGACGACTTCCTGGGTCTCGGGGATCAGGAGTTCTCGGTTGTCGTCAAGTAGGCGGTTCAGGGCCTCCAGAACATCAGTCGGTGCCAGGTTCAGTTCGTCGAGCACGATCCAGTGGCCTTGACGCATGGCTTGCACCAAGATACCTTCCTGGAATCGCAGCTTTCCGTCGGCTCCTGAGATGTAGGTACCCAGATACTCCTGAAGATCGGTGTGCTCGTGGTTGTTGATACGCACGAACTTGTTGCCAGTGAAATTTGCGAGATACTCAATCATACTTGTCTTTCCGGCTGACGTAGGACCTTGAATGAGGATGGGGAAGCGCCTTGTGGATGTAGCTCGGACAAGGTTAAGAAGGTTGCGTTCCACGTAGGGGGTGATAATGTAGTCATCCCGCTCAATGGGGGTCTCGTTGCCCTGGAATAGCCAGTACTGTCGATCTCGGCTCTTGTTCTTGAACCGGACATATGACTTGCCATCGTTAGGGTGCTTCGGCGCTTGAGAGAGGAGTGACTGCGAATTTCCGTGGCGTTCAAAGAGATGATGGGATATGAGGGGCACGAGCATCTTCTCGGAATCTCGATCCAGGAGAGTCAGAAATCCCATAGAGAAGCCTTCGTAAAGGGCTCTGCGCACACCGTAATAGGGTGCGATGGTGTTCACGTAACTCAAGACCCGAGTGAGAGTTCGAAGACTGAAATGGGGCACTTCATTCGCTCCATCAACGAGTCTCTTCTCCTCAGCCAAGCGCTTCGTGTTGAGATAGAGTCGCGCAATATCATCGGCTGCCTGATCGTTTTTACTGCTGCTGCTGCCGAGATAGGTCTTGATAATTGTAAGGAGGTCTTTCAAGTCCTTGTCCGGACTCGAGACGTAGACTTCAGTAAATCTTGATCGGATGCCAACGGGAAGATCGCGTTTTCCAATATCGGTTGCTGGGTTCATCGCGCCAAAGATTCGGAAGTTGGGGTGTGCTTCAATCTTCTCGATCTCGCCAGTCTCTGAGAGCAGGATGGAAGGTCTCTCGTCAGGTCCAGTTAACAGGTCTGCAATGCTCTCGAGAGTATCCGGTGATGCCAGGTTAATCTCATCAAGAAGAACCCAGTCACCATTGCGAACAGCCTTGACCAGGTTGCCCTCCATGAATGAGAAGGCGAAACTGCCAGAGCCCCCTGAGATTTGGACGTCAAACTGCTCGAGGTTGCGAGCAAAGGTGTCCCATCGCGGCTGGAGATCACGAAGTGTTTGCAGCTTCGACTGCGTCTTGCGACGTTTTGTAGGTTGCTCGTCACCATTTCGTGTCTCTGCTTGCTGAGCTTGCACCCGCTCGAGTTCGCTGACGATCTTGTTGAACATCTTTGGAGCTTCCTTCCACAGTTTTGACACCCTTGACCATTGTCCCTTGGCAAAGCACTTGCCGACCTGCTCGAGATACTTTTGGTTCTTGGATGCAGATATGCCAGTTGCAGAGAAGAGGTCCTCGAACTCCTCCTTCAACGGCATAGCCAATGTCCGTGTGTTGACGGGCTTGAAACCACCCAGGAGATCGCCGACCTCACTCTGCTGGGAAAGGTTGACAGCAATCAACTTGTGCCCAAGAGATTCGGCCAACTGCTGTACAACTGTGGTCTTTCCGATACCAGTTTCTCCCACGAGAAGGACTGGCTCGTTCAATTTGACAGCCACAGCAATTTGCTCCAGGAGCTTCTTGGCGTGTGCCGTGCTAGCAAAGGGTCGTTTTGACTTTTGGACGCGGCTAGAATGCTTCTTCTTCCGCAGCACAGCCCGGCCGATGCTGAACTGGTTGTCGCTCTCTTCCAAAGGGGGTATATTGGCAGTGATGTAGTGTTCTGCCCGTTCTTTGGAGAGGTGCATCTCCTCAGCAATCGCAAAGATGAGCTGCTTGCCAATCTCTTGGTCTGGGCAACTTCCGACAAAGCAGTCAACAGCCTCCATGAACATCCAGTCTCGGGTCGTCTCGCTGATGGGTTCGTCTCCGGTTTTTGAACCGGCGGCAACCAGACATTCCCGAAGTCTGCGGCACCATTTGAGCAGATCTCGTAGTGTCATCTGGCGATCCATAACGTTACGGCCTCGGGCTAGTGCTCCAGGGGTGCTGCTGAGTCGAGAGAGCCGGCCGTAGACTGCGAGGATTCCGGGCATAAACTTTCGGAGAATAGGATGTGTTTGAACAACCACGTCTTCGAGCTCAGACGCCGCAAGAGGTTGAGTCCCCAGTGTCTGCCAGAAGCGGATTCCAACGAGGCTGGGCAGGTTTTCCCGTCCATTCATGCCTCGTGATGTTCGTACGGTTGCAAAAAGTCGGAAACTGCTGGCTGCCTGTATCCTCTCTCCTCGACTGGGGATAAGTAGTTCTTTTCGCTCGATCAGGGGAAGCAGTGTGCTCAGAACTTCGGTAGGGGCTCGGTCGAGATCTTCCACCAGCACCCATCGTCCTTCCCGGACGGCTGTCGTAAGTACACCAGGGCGCCATTGAAAGCTTCCAGGTTTTGAGTCTGTCGAGTATAGGCCGATGAGCATTTTCGCATCCGTCTGTTCGTTGAGATGCAGCGTCACCATATTGGAGTACATGCCAAGCTGCTTGGCCAGTTCGTGAACCAGGGCAGTCTTTCCGACACCAGGAAGACCATATAGAAGCACCGGGTCAGACTCGCGAAGCATGCTGGCTAATCGCTCCAAATTAGAGACAGTTGTAGGGGTAAGGACGAGATTCGATGACTCTCCAGCCGGGCCTAGGGGTCGAGGCAAGATGACATTGCCGTAGGAGACAACGTAAGGGGTGAGAGCTTGCAAGCACGGGGAGTCATTGCCGTCGGCCTCGTGCGCTGCTTGTATTTCTTGGCGCAGAGTAATGACGGACTTTACTCGAGACTGTTCGTACAAGGATAGGAACCCATAGTCAATCGATCTACCATCAAAGTCTGCGAGAATAGCCTCGTTCTTGCCAATGTGCTCCTGGATGAGAGATTCCAGCTTCCAGTCGGATCCATGGAGGAGCTGGATGAAAATCCTTGTAGCAAGGTACCGAACGGCTATGCTATCATGCTTGAACAGGGTCTGCATGAGAGCGGGAGAGGTCAGGGGCCCAAAGTTTCGAGGGTCGAAGCTGATGAGTCTCCATGCCACCAGGAGGCTCTGTAGTAAAGATTCTTCATCCTGGGGCATGGCATCTTGGTTGAGCCTCAGGGGAGGGAGGCGAAGCGAAGGTGAATTAGTCGGCTTTTCAGACGACGAGTGTTCGAAAAAGGTTGAAAGATAAGGGGCAAAAGGTAAGATGCGTGCCAGAGCTGAATAGATTCGTATCCGCTGTCGCTCATTTCCGGGGTTGAGAATCCATCGTGAGCAAATGTCTGCAAAGACATGCTCAAAGTGCGCAAAGACGCGCTCTGTAAGTGGCGGGCAGAGAGCAGCCTCTGCCACGGCGTCGAGCAGCTTCGTCGAGGTCTGGTCCTGGATGAGGGCCAGTAATTCTGAGGGCAGATGTTCCAGTACAGCCGCGTCCGCAAGGAGCGACCTCCTCTGCCGCGAGACGTCAATCATTGCCATGATTGCGCTCGTGTTTGACGATTCTTGCACTCGATGCTGGTGCCTCTCTCAATTCACAGGCAAGGCAAGCTCTCCTAGACTTTTTTTTTCTGTTATCTTATCTCGGCAAAAAGGTGCCATGAAATTCCGGGCCAATCAAGGCGGCGCTATTCCGTTTTTGTCAGGACCCTGACTTGAGTTGACTTTAATGTTTCAACTCGACTTGTTGAACGTTTCAATGAGTCTTGAGTTGGTTAGAGATAATGAGTTAATGCTATATTAGCCTATATGCGGAGCCAATGTACAGTACTTGAGGTAAAATATACAATGGGGCTCATCTTTCTGTTGACTTTCAAGGTGTGTTATATATTATTGATCCCAGTGCCCTTGCCTTAATGACGTTAAAACAATATGGGATCGAGAAATACTTCACAGCTGAGCATAAAAGAGAAACTGAGAGACTCAATGATTTTGCATTCAATATACCTACCTATCTACACGAACAATATCTCAACTTTGACACAGCCGACGTTAAATTCATCCCGCTTCAAGAACAAATGCACGGACCATAAATACCACGTGACCCAACCGCTAGCCCGCCGGCCCATCGAGAGAGCTACGAAAAACTTCAAGACGCTCTCTCAGACGCCCGCACGCGACGACTCCCGACCCTCGAATTGAGCCAACCCCCAGCCCAATCCTCCAACACAATGGCCATGTCTTGCCGGTACGCCGCCCAGAGCTGTGCTCGCCAGCTCCGATCCGCCCGCGCCGCCCGGGCACCCGCACAGCTCCTCCGCGCCTCGGCGTCCTCGAGGAGGTGGAACTCGACCGAGGCGGCCCCCTCCAACCCCAAGATCGAAGCCATTGTCGACCAGATCAGCCAGCTTACCCTCCTGGAGACTGCCGACCTCGTTTCAAGCCTCAAGGTATGTCTCCTCGCTCAATTGGCCCTCTCCAATGGCACCCCTCCAGCATCACCCCGCTGACCTGGTATACCCTCATACAGACCAAGCTCAACATCCCCGATATGCCCATAGGCGGATTCGCCGCCGCCGCTCCCGCTGCTGCTGCCCCTGCTGCCGAGGAGGCCGAGGAGGCTGCCCCCGCCGCCGCCGAGAAGACGCTCTTCACGCTGAAGCTCCAAGGGTTCGAGACCGCCTCCAAGGCCAAGGTCATCAAGGAGGTCAAGAACATGCTCGGCCTGAGCTTGGTGGACAGCAAGAAGTTTGTCGAGAGCGCGCCCAAGATGATGAAGGAGAACGTGCCCAAGGAGGACGCCGAGAAGATCATCTCGGCCATGAAGGAGCTGGGCGCCACCGTGGTGATGGAGTAAAGGCGGCTTTCGCTCTGGGGCGACGAAACTAGCGACTTGGCACGATAGATGGCTGGATTGCATGTACAAAACATCTGTACTAGTATCTAACAACATTTACCCTCTTCAAAAAGACTCATGGGGGGGTGCTCTTCAAATCACAGGGTGTTCCAGGGTAGTCGAGTTGGGGTGATGTGTATATGATGTATGAAAGGCTCCATGATAAAGACTTCATGATGAAGACTATAGGGAAACTAGAGTAGCCTAGTTGAATAACACCAGTAATGGTACACTTTTTTAGAAACCAAGCTCTCTCAAATATTGGTTCAAATCACCATCCCACCAAACCATTGCCAAACCGATGGGTATCAATGATTTTTCTTTCAGTACCTCGATGCAAACCCAAATCCAAACGCCGTCCAAATGCCAATATGAGATGTATGATTAACGTTCCACTCAGTGACGGTTGCCATTCGCCGCTCGTTGGTGTTGACAACCCGCCTGCATTTCCATCTCTTTTCGAAAGTCAGCCAGCTCTTCGGTCAGTAACCGGTCGTCGTCCTCGCCAAAGTCGCTCGTATCCTCCCACAGCTTGCTCATCTCTGCATTCTCAACCTTGGGGATGGCCCATATACTCTCTCGCTCACGCTTGTGACGTTCACGGTCCTCCTCGATACGCTGCTCAATCTGTCGCTTGTCGAGTCGGTGAGGTGCGGTCCTCCGGCCTGGCTTGGGTATGGTCTGTGAGGGAGGCATATCTGTCATCTCGACGTCTCCGTTAGGAGAGGCCAAGCCAAGGTCGTCCGCGTTGGTCTCTCGCTCCTTGATGACATCCTCTATCTGGGTGACCGTCTGAGACTCCAAGTATCCCTTGCCTTGGAGGCCTTGTAGAACCTTCTATGGGTGTAAGTCAAGGTCTCTAGAGTAAAAAAACCTGGGGTATTGGGATTGGGATCATGCATGGGTCAGCTCACCTTTCGAACCACTTTGACATTAGCAGCGCCAGACCCATCATCCGGAGCAACGGCATCGACGACACGAATAATATCACGTTGCATCATCCGAATGTAGTCTGTGTGCCCGTCGCGCTGCGCCAGGTCTAGAAAGTGCTCGATGAAATACATGATATTGGCGCGAGTGTTCATGTTGTTCTAGCCAACCAGGTCAGCACTGACACCACATAGTGGCTGGATGGTGATACATACCCGTTCGAGCTGCTCAAGGACACAGGAGTGCAAGTCCTCGTCCATGTCCTTGTACTTGAGGGCATATTGGGCAGCTTTTTGGGCGGATGCTACCGAGGCGTTGAGATGCTGAAGCTGTGAGGTGAAGCGCATGCGCACCTCAAAGGGGTCGGCCATGGTGAAGGGTAAGTGAGAGGGTAGCCAGCGGAAGGAAACGGGATGGGGAGCAATCCAATCTCGACGGCAAATCTTAGCGACGACAGCGTGTGGAGTGTCTCGGAAGTTCGGAAGCTCGGTGACAGCAAACCAAAGGCATGAAGCTGTCACGACCAGGACCTAGCGAGACAAGCTCCAAGGTTCATGGATGGATAGACAGGGCTAGATTGTGACAGCTCTGAAGGGGATTTGTCGATGGAGGTTGGCGGTGGGGCGTTTCTCCTGTCTTGTCTTGTGCCACGCTGTGGCTGTGCTCAGGCTTTCTGAGGTGAGCCGTTAAGTTCACCTCACCTCAGCGAACAGCCAAGTACCTTACCAACGGGAATAACACGACACGTCCTTGTCTCACCGTCCCGCATTGTTGGGCGCCATTTTTCTCTTTCCTTTTTCCTCTCAGGCACCTTGACACGACTCGACAGACCCCAGCCCCGGGCCGGACTAGCCGAAGGTGTATCGCATGGGTCTAACCCGAACAGGCTGCCGGTGAAAGTGTTTTAAGTGTGTGCGTTCAGAGGGCATCGGCATCACCCTCAGGGGGGGAGAAGGACCCGCGGGGAGCGATGGTTACAGGGCCCGGACGAGGCTAGAAGCCCAGGTCTGGAAAGATTCGGAACGACGAACGAACCAAAAGGTGAGGAACAGCAGCGTTATGTCGCGCATTCTGGGGGGGCACGAGCAAGGGCCGTCATCATACAGTCCATCTCATCTCCTGACAGGTTGAGGCGGTGGTGAGACTCTGAGGCCAGCACGCCCGTTCTCATTCGGTGCGTAAGGTGTGTGTGTGTGTTTACAGTGGGTGAGGTCCGTGAATAGCACCCTCCGTGAATAGCACCCGTCTCTATCTGTCCCCCTCGCTCTCGCATTGCTACCCCTTAATCCATTTTGCGTTCTTTTTTCTTGTCTCCCAAGCCCCAAGAGCCCCAGGTATAGGTACCGTAGAGGTGATGGATACGGGTCGTGACGGGGCAGAACGCGCATTGGGCAGCAAAGGCACCTTTTCCGTTGCCTGGTAATTTTTCCATGCTACCAGCACAGTACATTTGAAGTGTAAACAAGAGCCCAGAAAATCGATACGTGCGTGCCCATCTTACACGGTCAAATCTTTTAAAATCTCTCCTCTCCTTCGATTTCCCCAGCTTTTTTCCTTCTCGAATCTCCCTCCATCTCCCATCTCCCTCTCCTCCTCCTCCATCTCGCACCTCTACACCCTCTCCTCTTCTATCCTTTTATACAAACTTTTTGCACTTTTCTCCACTACGCACCTTTTGTATATCCTCCTTTACCTCAGAAATCATGCCCAACACAATGGCTCTCACGCCTTACGGCTCAAATGGATCTACTGATCTCACCATGGCTGTTCTCGGTTGCGGTAAGTCATCTATCTCAAGATACGCGATATCGCAAGGCACACCACTGGACTGTACGACATGAGCCTCGTACAGATCCACCAAATACTGTGTCCTCTGCGCTGCACATGGAGAATTTCCCTTGCTGATCATGAACCAGGCACCATGGGCGTCGCTATTCTCAGTGGCATCTTGAACTCGCTCGCCGATATGCAAGGTCCTAAGCCCCTGCAGATTCCCAGGTCAGGAGCCTCAACTCCCATGGACGAGGTGCCTCAGCGTCTCCCCTCTCGCTTCATCGCCAGCGTGGCCACTGCTGCCGGTGCCAAGCGTGTCAAGGGCAGCCTCTGGGAGCACTCTTCTATTCTCAAGGTCGTCCACAATGACAACCTGTCCGCCGTCCAGCAGTCAGAGGTCGTTCTCCTGACCTGCAAGCCCTGGATGGTCAAGGAGATCCTTAGCGAATCCGGCATCGCCAAGGCCCTGCACGGCAAGCTGCTCATCAGCGTTTGCACTGGTATCACCGTTGAGGATATTGAGGTTGCCCTTCACGGTGCTGTGCCCTCCAAGGACCCCAACGAGGACGGCCGTTGCCGTATTGTCCGGGCCATGTGCAACGCTGCTGCTGTGATCCGCGAGTCCATGACCGTTATCGCTACCAGCAGCCCACCTCTGGACTGTGCCACCGAGGGCCTCGTCACCTGGATCTTCAAGCGCATTGGCGATGTTGTCTACCTCCCTGCCCAGCACATGGATGCCTCAACAGCCCTGTGCGCTTCCGGTCCGGCCTTTTTCGCGCTTGTGCTAGAAGCCGCCATCGACGGCGCCGTCGCCATGGGAATTCCCCGCCACGACGCCCAGCGCATGGCCGTGCAGTCCATGAGGGGCATGACCGGCCTGGTCCAGAACGGCGAGCACCCGGCCCTGCTCCGGGAAAAGGTCTGCACCTCGGGAGGCTGCACCATCGGTGGAGTTTTGGTCATGGAGGAGGGCAGAGTCCGCGGCACCGTCTCAAGAGCCGTGCGAGAATCCGCCGTTGTGGCGAGTCAGCTCGGAAAGGGAATTGAGGGTGTGAATGGAACAAGATTCCCCGGCCCTTCAACCCTGCAATGAAGAAACCACGACCGGGACGATGGGCCAGAGGTTGTAAAGGAGAAGTCTCAGCCCGATCCGGTCCCTGAGTCTCAGCCACAGCCAGCTCAAGAAGATCCCCATATCACTGAACCGGTCGAGGATCTCAAGCCAACACAAACACAAATCGAAGAATCAGAGCCAAAGCCGGCCGAAGGGTCGCGGTCAGAGCTTGGCGCTGTCTCTTCCGACACGTCTCTTTTCCTTATTTTGATCAGCACTTGGCAGGCCTTGCGACATGTTTTCCGGAGCAACACTCACTTTTGTTAACGCGGGTTGTTTGTTAGGTTAGGTTGCATTGGGTAGACGGGGATATAGGTGCAATGGCTATTACATACATATATAAAAGGATAATACAGTTTTCTGTCCAAACCGTTCCCCAACTCCGAACCAACCAGACCAGCCTTCCGTTCCTTTGTGAAGATCCATCTCAGTATCAGGCACATCACTGGTATCTAGGCATCCTCCACACGAGCCTTCTTACTGCTTGAACCCTCCCCGTTTTCTTCCTGCAGCTTTCGCTTGCCATTCTTTGGCTCGGCCTGGGCATTCTTGGCTGAACGTTCACAAGCAGCCAGGATTCGCGCATACTCCAGTCCAACACCGTCCAGGGTATCATCAAGTCTCTCGATCCGCTCATGAGGTTCAATTTGAGCAAGGAAGTCTTTGTTGTGACGGTAGAGGCGCTGCTTGGCAATCAACTTCCAAACCCTCAGCTGGTGCTTGTCTGCTTTTGTCGGAGCTGGGCGCTTCTCGTCGATCGCCATTGTGGGCTGCACCGATTCCGGTAGTTGGGACATGAGATACATCTCGAGAACACGTCCAAACTGGCGAGGAGCAATCTTGGCCTTGAGACGGATTGTTTCCAACTGGTCGCTGCCGACAATGAGTTTGGGCAGAGTTCCCTTCTTGGGAATCGTGACATCTGCATCCAGTTTCAAGTTGCAGAATTCGGGCATCTGTTTGAGGAACTGCAAGTCGCAAATATCTCGCAACAGATCAAACGCCTCATTCGGGTCTTCGACGGTAAACTCGTGTGTCTGCTCGTGCTTGTGATAGTATTCGAAAACGGTTTTGTAGAGGCGAGCGCCATTGCCCTTGCCCTGGAAAGGAGGCAAGATGATGAACTGAGATAGACGTGTTCTGCAGGGAAGCTCTGCGAGGTCCTGGTCGCCTGTTGGCAGCTCCCAGTCATCCTTTGGCGAGGCTGGAGGCGTTGGGGGCCTGAAGTAGTAGAATCGGAAGAGAGTTGCATAGCCGACAAAAACGTATGTGCTCGTCTCTGCCACTGTTTCCTTCTTGTATAGTGAGAAGAAGGTCCATCGGTCGGCGTCGGAGAGATCAATCTCCCCAGAGTCCAGGTCCTGACCAATATAGCTACCTCCGTCGATGAAGAATGGGACCAAGATTTGCAGGCGACTGTTGAGCTGCTGAACTGCTTGATCGGCTAGGTTTCCGCGCCAGATCTCGTACTGGCCGTCGGGCGCATCGATAGTCGTGTGCAGGGCGCCGGGAGGCGTCCAGTTTTCGCTCATCTGCTTGGAGCTGTCCTCGAAGTCGCTCGCCTTGGCAAAGGCAACTGTGTATTCTCAGTATTTTACCATTCAAAACAGACGAGGCATGACATACTCTTAGGCAGGTGGTGACCCTCTTCCAAGACCACCTTCACATCTACTGGCTCGGGTCCGCCAACAGCCTTGAACTTGCTGCTGTAGGTTGTTTTCAGGTGCGGTCGCATGTCATTAGCGCGGTACCGCAGGTTGACCTTTAGGTCTTTGTACCCAAAGATCTGCTCATCCTCTCCGAAGAAAGAGTGGGTGAAACTAGGGTTGAACGCCGCGATAGTGGTAAGGCCGGTCTTTGATGGCGCCATCAAGCTGATGCGAATCGCCTCGTTGGCGTTGCTGAGCCCTTGAATTGAAGTCAGCACCATTGATTGCGCAAACGAAGCTGCGCGGAAGCTAGAGAGATACTCACAATCCTCAGCATTAGGCAAGTTAGCCATCGTATCGTCTATCGTCCTCTATTATGATATTGATTCAACAAAAGGGTCGCAGAGCGTATGCGACACGATGCAAGAAGGCGTCGATTGGGAATAAAGAATTGCGATGAATGCGCCTCCGTTGCTGGAGTGAGTGTTCAGAAACTCGACCTACCCAAACGCGCTTGACAGGGTAATGAAGCGCGCGTCTCACGCGATTCAATTAAGCCTAGCTAGGTACCCTTTTGCGCCCCAAATTTAAGGCCGCCTTTCAGAGATCGGGTGCGCCAGAGAATGACGTAATATCACCCTTGAACAGTACGTACCTGACGAACCCTGAGCCGGACGGCCCGTGCCCCTGGCCTGGGAGTCGCAAAGCAAATGTCAGTCAAGACTCTCAGTCTATCCTAGACTGGCCATCTTCAGGCTTCCATCTCGCAAGCAACTCGTTAACCATGCGACTCGAGCCTTCGCCATGTTACAAATCACAAGTAGTTCGTCGCCAGTCGGCTCCGCTATCTTCTCATGTCTTGCGCTACTAGTCATCTCTCTCGTCGTCCTCCTCATCTTACGATACTATCTCCCCCTCCGAACGACTCCGGCTTTCTATCTCCTCCCCATCTTCTTCGCCCTTTGGCTGCCCTCGATAGTCGTCATCCTCGTACCGATCGATCTCGCCTCGAGCGCGACCACCGGAGATGAGGCAACAAGAGGAATATGGCTTCCTGAGCGCGTCCTTCTGGTATCATGGCGCATCACATACTGGTTGACATTTGCATTGACTTGGTAGGACACATTTCCGGATCTGACTGCAAATTTGGCTGACGAGGTTTTTAGGTTCATCCTCCCCATCCTCGCCGAATATGCCGATGCAGGATATCGAGAACCATACGACAAGTTCATGTACTCGGTTCGCAGTAATGCCATGTTTCACGCCATTGTCCTGAGCCTCGGATCGGTCGGTCTTATCTACGTCTTCGTCTACTATGGATTCAACTTCACTTCCGTCAAGGCACTTGTCATGGCTCTTGCATACTGCTGGGGATTGATCCTGGCCATCTATCTGATGGGTCACGGGTTGGTGTCGATTCCGCGCCGCCTCATGCGTGGCGCAAGCATAAGCGGACGATTGCGACGCCTTCAGAGCAAAGCCCCCAAAGTTTACGAGCAGATGGAGGATTCGATCGCGAATCTCGAGGATATCGAAGTGCAGGTTGTTGAGCTTGGGCGGCGTAAGACGGGCAGCGCCTTGGCCTTCCGCGACTGGATCGAAGAATTGCAAGAGATGGCCAACATTCCTGAATCTCAACCTCGACCGTCGCGATTCGGCACCGGCACCGATAGCGCCATCATCCCGCATGTCATTACCGAAAAATATCTCGCCGATCTCACCAGAAAGTATGTGCGCGCGAGGCATACTCGATCCCGATACGTCAACGCATGGAGCGAGCTCGTTCAGGAAGCGGCCGAGACACAAAACATCCTGGATTCTGCAGGATCCAAGAAGCTGGAACTCGGCGATGTTTCACCCCATGCCGGGTTCTGGGAAAAGATGGTGATACTGACTCCATATACCCGGTACCTGTACTACTACCATCTGTTGCCATACGGTCAAGTTCTTCTTGGCTTGTTCCTGGCGGCAGCATCGGCCTGTATCGTTTGGTCCGAGTTTGTCAAGATTGCGTTCCCCAAGCTGTCCGTCATCAGACTAACCGTCGTGCATCATTGGGTTGGTGATAAGGCTGAGGTCGGGTTCGCTGGTCAAGTCATCTCATCACTTTGGATCTGCTACATGTGCGCAGCCGCTCTCATCTCAATGACCGAGGTCAAAGTCTGGCGCGGCCGGGCGCTTGTCCGTCGCAACACGGCTCATGAATCGGCCTTTTGGTACGCCATGCAGGTGGCCAAGCTCACCATCCCCATCTCGTACAACTTTGTGACCTTCCTATCCAAGGACGTCTACAACAAGACCACATTTTACAAGTTCCTGGGTGTACTGGTCGACTTTACACCTCTGGGTCGCTATTTCGACGATCTCTTCCCTGTTCTGGTATTGTTCCCTGTCTTTGCTACCCTGTTCGGTATCTATGGCAGAGTCAAGAGGATCTTTGTGGGAATGGACGTGATGGATGATGAAGAGGACAACGCTGCTGGTTATGGCACCGGCTCATGGCGCGAAGGCCGAGATCTCATTTCTCGAGAACTGGGAGGAAACACTCTCTTCCACCGCAGAGAGGATGCCCTCGCCAGAATAGCGGCAACAGGTACCTCTGGAGGCAGATCTGCTCCAGTGCTGTCTATTCCTTCTGCTCATGGTGACGCATCCTCACCTGCGCGATCTCCCGCTCGACCTGCCACCACGACTCGGGTACGGACATCAGCCTTTGGCCCTCACTGGAACGACGAACCACCAGAGGACGACAACATCTTCCAGATTCTGGGTCACCGCATGAAGAACACGTTCGACACCATCGAGGGACCCAAGTGGTTCCATGATATGAAGAAGCCCAAGTGGATGGGAGGTGACGATGATGATGGCGCCGGTGCTGGTTCTTCGTCTGGGTCCGGGCCAGACTTTCGCAGATGGTTTGGAGGTGGCTCGAATGAAGGCCAGATCCGCATCTAAGAGTCATTTTTACACATGGGCGGCGCCAAGGTCTGCTTTTCCTAAAAAAAATTCAGGGTTTCACTTTTTGTTTGGATACACCGGCATGCTTTTCCCTTGATAGAGTCGGTCTAGGGCTAACAGCATTGCTCTGGAGTTTTTTGGTCAAACCGTTTAACGTATCGATGCTCGAGCAGAAAGACGCTGATGTGTTTATGCGGAGTGCAATATATGGGTTAATGTTGATGTTTTATGGAGCTGGGATAGCGGTAATGTGAGATGTTTATAGGTAGTCAATTGTGAAAGGCATATATATTTCATCATATTCGTAAAAAGCCGGTCCGTGTCTATGAAGTGAAGTCGTTCATGTCGGTATGGTGCATGGTGCATGAATCTGTTCGTCAAAGTCGTAAAGTGTCGTCGTATCCAAGGTGTCACAAAGCCATCCAAACAGAAAACAAATAGCTCTTCCTGTGACCCTGGTTTCAAGTCTTTGGGGGCGGGTTGGCCGTGTTCCAGGTATTGGCCTTGCTCATGGTCCGCTTGCGCAAAGCAAACATGATCTCCTTTTCCATCTTGTCAATGTTCTTCTCCAGGTCCGCGTCGTCCTTCTTGTGCTGCTCCCGGCGACGCCTGTCGAGGTACATCCAGCATCCAACGATGAGAGCCGTGACAGGGACTGCTATGGCGAAGTAGACCCAGAGTTGGATAGAGACAACGGGGTCGGCACCTAAGAACCATTGTTAGTAGAAAGGATGTGTAGTGGAGGGCGGTAAGATCGAACCTTTTCCAAAATCAAAGAATGTCATGCTAAAGACAGAAGCGAGATATGTTCCTGGGAGAAAGAGGGCACCCATGAGCGACAGAGTCTTCATGGCTGTGCTATCCCGCTTGCTGGCGTGGGCTATCCTCCTCTGTTCTCCGGCAATCTCGAGATTAAGCCGTGCCTCACGCTGCGACATGATGTTATAAAGCTGTGTCCAAGGTCAGTAGTGTTCCATAATCCAAGGATAGCAAGGACATACCGCTTCGCGTTGGACCTTGAGCCTTTCCAGAGTCGTGTGGATGTAGTTTTCCAATCCCGTAAGCTTCACCTTGTAAAAGTCAAGCCGAGCCACCATGCTCCGATGCAGCTTGTCGAGCTCCTTGCGATACTTGCGTTCAGCTTCGCACATATCCTCGCTTGCAGTTGTGTTCCACAGATAACGAAAGTTCTCCATAGCCTTCTCCATCTCCTTGGCAAGGGCCATATACGCCTGGGGCCGCTTCCACATGACGTTGCCGTGGCATTCGACGAGGTCACGGTTCAATCCGTCAACGTCTATGAGGCCGTCTTGGAAATACTGCTCTTGCTCCTCGACCTCGTTTCGTAGACTGACGGCGTTTTCGAGCCGACGAAGCCAGTGCCGCGCCTTGCGTTGCTTGTTATCATTCTCTGGAGAGAGGTCGTAGGAGAGTATGATGATGGGGAGCAACATTGGGTGGCCGACCTCAGCAGCGCAGGCTTGGAGGTGGACGAGCGTCTTTTCGACCTCAGAGCTTGGGGTTCCCTTGATGAAGCCAGTAGTTATACCGGTCTTGAATGAGTAGGAAAGGAGCATCTCCCAGCCGCGGGTTTTGCCTTTCTTGAGCACATCTGACTTGCGGTGGATGATTTCTATCAACAAAGTTAGTAACAACCATTTTCATCAGAGTCAATAAAACTCACGCAAGTGAGGGTCATCGTCATCTTGGTCGTATGCGCACCAGAAGAAGGGCCCGACCACTGATGTTGTCTCGATGCCGCGAAAGGGCAGCCTCAGCTCACGAACCATGGATGCATACCTGTCGCAAGGCAGCGAGATGACCTTTGACAGAAAGGTGTCGTTATGCTTGGCATTCTTCTGAACTCTGTGAAAATGGCGTTAATTGGCATTGTCTCATCGTGCTCGGCATCCAAGGAAAGCTCACATTAACCGAACACCACTGAGTAGTTTGGTGCCATGTCGCAGGTTGTCCGGTGGTGCAAAGGCGCCCTATTTCATCAGCTTGTGATCTTCAGAGGTCTTGGCAGCTTGTCACTTACCCTCCGATGCAGAAAATTGTCAAACTCGTCATCCGGTAAAGGATGCTCCTCGGAGGAATTATACAAGGGATCCTGAGGCAGATTAGATATCCATATGTCGTGAAATCATGAGGGACGAGTGACATACCGAATAATTGAAGATCTCGACGTAGCCCGTGTCCTCGTAAACAGTGCGACATTCATTGACATAATACCGAAACATATAATCGTCCATGGCGATTCTGGGAGCTGCCTCGATATCGATGTCGCTGCTGAAAGTCGTCGTCGTCGCTGGACGCGTCTTCAAAGCGCCACCGCTTCAACTACCTAGCCTGGGCCTGGATCCGTCGAGCTAGTCGTTGCTTGGCGACGAGTATAATTGCGGAGGCGGCGACGCAAGGGTTGAGAAGAAGAGGTTGAAGGGGAAAGAAGGGACAAAGAAACGGTGAGAGAGATGTACAGCACAGTATGGATAGATGCAATTGGATGTCAGGATGACATTTGATAATCCTAGACCCCGACGATCAATATTTTTTTCCCCTTCTGCTCCTCGGGTCTCCAATCCCCCCGAGTCGGCCGCTAAGCCAGCCAGACAGCTAGATCCAGACCTTGCCCGGCCTCTTTTTAAGCGGCCTCCTCAGCTGGCAGAAAGGTACCTGAAGGAAAGGATCGTCTGTAAATGAATGGGTCTGTGCCTGGGATCGAATGCGAGCATTACCAACTGCGTCGTAGTAGTGACAATTGACCTTCCAGGGTGCCTCAAGTGTCGAGGTTGGTCATCCCCCGCCCAGCCCCGTGACTTTCTGCCTCAGCGAGACATCCATCCAGCCAAGTGCAAGTGCAAGTGTTGCTGCGTTCCAGTTCGCTCCTTCTTCTTGCGGCGGTCCGTCCCGTCCGCTCCACGATCCCCGCCCAAATCTCAGGCCGATAAACCTCCATTGGTTTGAATCCATTGGCATTTTCCAGCAATTCACATTTGACAAGAATTAGGTAGCAACTAGGGATGCATTGATACTTGTTAATGCTGTTTCTGTATCCTACTTGAATAGGCAATAGACATGTTGTCTCCAATCGCACAGTCGTCACCCCCGGTAGTCCAACTCTTTCGTGTTTCCAACACAACCTTCATAGACATCCTCACCCTTTTCACCTCACTATCCGCAAGGCCCATCCCCAACCCAGGAACGTAGTCATACAAGAACCCATCCATATACTCCAGCAAGCACATCCTTAAAACTCCGTAAAGAGGTGTCCAAATCTGGAGCTTCTGTTAGCACATGTAACCAATTATCACACTTGTCTTCACTTACTCATCCGATCCTCCTGTCTGGCCGTATTTCTCTGGGTCTTCAGGGTATCGGTCAAACTGACTAGCGTCACCCGCACCAGCCTTGACTGGCGGCGTGTATGGCGCATCGATATCCTTTCTAGCCAGGCGATCCCAAGTAACTTCGGCAAACCAGGGGTGATTCTTCACATCCGCAGGTCCACCGTAAAGGTTGCCCAATCGCTTTGTCAAATCGGCCGTGATCAGGCGCTCTAGGAGATTCTGGGCGTCTGCATTGACGTACGCTGGGTACTTGACCTTGCCCTTGAGAATGTTTTCGTAGATCTTCATCGGAGATCCACTGTCCCAGAAGGGTGTGTATCCGCAGAGCATTTCATATATCAAGATGCCCAATGACCACCTAATGCACGCACGTCCATATTAGCCTCGTCCCCCCCCAATTGCACTTGCGCACTTATCCACTCACCAATCCACAGACTTGTTGTATCCCTTGTTAGAGACGACTTCGGGGGCCAGGTAGTCGGGCGTGCCACACAGCGTCCATGTCTTGTCGGGCACTCGCTTCGCAAAGCCAAAATCTGTAATCTTGAGGTGGCCGTGTCGGTCCAGGAGCAGATTTTCTGGTTTCAGGTCTCGGTAGATGACGTTCTTGGAGTGCAGGTACTCCAACGCTAGCGTCACCTCGGCGGCGTAAAACTTGGCAACTGGGTTCGGGAAACGCTTGAGGACATGTTAGCAGACTCTCTTTCAAGTCGCATTCGCGAAACCTACCCCCGACTTCCTGAGGAGCGAAAAGAGCTCGCCTCCTTCAACAAAATCCATCACCATGTACAGGTTCTTGGTGTCTTGGAACGTGCCCCACAGAGTGATAAGGAAGGGATGCTTGACATCTGCCAGCATTCGTCGCTCGTCGTTGGTGTGCTCGACCTGCTTCATCTTGACTACTTGGGCCTTCTTGAGCACCTTGACTGCGTAGAAACGTTGGTTGTGCTTCGATTGGACCAGATGGACTCGGCCGAAGCTACCAGTTCCAAGTGTCCTCAAGATATCGAAATCACCCAACGAGTACTTGCCCTTGGTGACGCGCATCTGTGATCCGTTGCTGGGCTGCTGCTGATGGTTCGCCTGGTGCTGTTGCGGTTGCGCCTGTTGTTGCTGCTGCTGCTGCTGTTGGGGCTGAGCTTGCTGCTGGTATTCGTGCTGTTGCGGTTGCATCGTCGGCTGAGGCATGGCCTGCTGCTGTTGTTGCTGAAGGACTGCGGGATCGGTGCCGGGGCTGACCGTCTGCGCGGATCGATTTTCTATAGTTGATAGGTATTGCGAATTGGGCTGGCCGTTATTGGCATAGGAGTTGCCCTGGGCATCGTGTTGATGTTGCTGAGGCGGATTGATGAGGTTATTGATGCTTGGTAGGTTCTGTTGGTCGTGGTGCATCGCATTGCCCGTGACGTACGGGGGCTGCTGAACGTTGACCGAGTTCATCGTCTGCTGTCGCTCGGCGTCGCTGACTGCCGCCGTCTGCTGCGCCGGAGCAGAAGGCGGATTGGACTGAGGCGCGGTGCCTGCCTGGGCGTCAGGCTGTTGTTGGGGTTGGTGTTGCGGCTGCTGTTGCTGCTGCTGCTGGGCGCTAGGGTTGGTCTGGGCAGCTGGCACCGAGGTCGAGTTCCTCGAGGTTCGAGGTAGTAGCGATGAGCCAAAAGCCTTGGAGATGGACTTTGATCTGGAAGTTGGCGTGACAGGACTGGTTGGATTTGAGGCTGGATCAGAGTTACCCTCTCTGGTCCGCTTTTTCTTGAGGAACCCTAGGGAAGGCATAGGGTAGTAGTGTGACGGATGGAGGAAGGGGAGGGGGAGGGAGATGTGAGAGAAGCGGGGAGGAGAGGAGAGGCAGAATGGACCTAAAGTGAGGGAGGGAGGACTGGACTCTTGCAGATCACACCGTTTGCCGGATCAGTCGGTGGTGGGTAATGGCGATGGGGAGAGGGCGAAAGAGGGTGGGCGTAGGTCAGATAGGCGTGGGCGTGGGAACCGGCGTTTGAATGGCGATTGATGAAAGGCAAGACCAAAGGTAACTTGGCTTCCTCCGAGGAAAGAGAGTCCAGCGGTAGAAGGGCGGCGCCGCCTTGGAAGGATTCGAGCTGGTTAGGTGGTTTCGTGCTTCCCGGGAGCCAGCAAGAGGTCAGTGAGCTCGTCTCTGGCGCGGCCTAGCCTCTAAATGGAGCTCTCGAGTTCAGGGACAGAAGGTAGTAGCAGCTGCAGGAGTGGGCAGCGCCGGACCAGGGCAGGGGTGGGCGTCAGAGCTGGCTGAGTCCTGGGTCTCTTCTCTAACAAGCTTGTGGGGGAGCTCTCAGCTTCAGCTGCTAAGGCCAGCAACAAGAACAACAACAATCAACCTGCCAGAGGGGATTGCCCTGGATACAAGAGGGGTGACGGCCGGGGTTTGGCGTGATGCTGATGCGAACAAAGACTTTTAAGATCTTGGCACATTCCACCACGATAACAATTGAGGGAACAGCTCCTGAGAAAAGAGGAATTGACGGTGGCTGACGAGTGGGGGAGTCTGTCTGTCTGTTGGTCTGTGTTCTGCGTGCGTTGCGTTACGTCTGCGTCCTGTGTGTCGCGCGCTGTTTGAACGACGAAACGACGGGGTCTTGCCGATTGACTTGTCCCGTCCTAGAGAGATTTGGATCCGTACCTATGAGAGGTGGTATGTACGTAGTATGGTATGGTGACGGTTGCGAACAAGGTTTACCACGCTATGGTGATGTAGTGAAGCTTGCGCCAGTAAAAGGCACCCCTCTTTTATGATGGGATCAGCGATTGCGCACTGGGCTGATGGGCGCAGATGATGGATGTCTTTTGCTCGCTTATTCTCTCTTCGCTCGCCTGCTGGAGCTCGGTCAAGATGGGGGCGTTTGAGAACCGGCCGTCTAGTGGCAATTGGTCGATTGCCGATCTGCAGGTCTAGCAAGAAGTAGTCGAGGGTCAACAAGAACGGACACGGGAGAGAGGGCGAGAAGAGACGAGAGCGAGAAGGGGAGGAAACAAAGGGCGATGATGTCGTCGTTCAGGTAGAGTGGGACGGCACCAGCGCGGCGCCTCGGACAACTGTGGCGGGCCTGGGACGAGATAGGTGCGGAATTGGCCAGAGTTCAAAAGTCAGGAAGTGGAAGAGAGTTCGAGGAACAAAAAGTCGAAAGATTGAGATATGACGGGAAGAGCTGAGTATAGGGAGTATGGAAAGAAGAGTTTCAATCCATGTGGTAGAGAGAGATGGCAATGGATGGAATGGAAGGGAGAGCTTCTCCACGATGAAGACGACGATGACCTGAGCTCACTTCTGATGGAGAATGGATCCAATGGAGCTCTCCAGCAACCTAGGTTAGTTAGGTTCCGAGATGGATGGTGTGGGTTTGGCGGGGTTGAGTCTAGAGGGTGAGGCCATGGGTGAGAATGACGGGAGCTTCCACACTCTTTGACTCCGTCTCGCCGCGCTACGCCGCGACCGGAATACGACTAGGCCCAGCCCCAGCTTTGAGAGCTTCGCATCATTCATCACCGTGACAGAAGCTCACAATACCCGGCTCAGGCCTAGTCTAGTGCGCGCCCGCAGGAACGGGCATTGAGTTCCTGAAGCCGGTGGAATGTAGATTTGCTGCTTTCAGGTCCCCTCGAGGAACGAGACTTGCGTGCAAGACGCCTCGAGGATGGGCTGTCCAGCGTGGGCATTCGAGGTCGATACTCTCATGTAGATGCTGTTCAGTAAACCGAAATGCCTGGCCCCTGGTCGACCGCCAAGCCCAGATGCTGAATGCATCATCGAGGGCCATGGTGTTCTCAGTCCAAGACCAATTCTAAGCAGATAGGATAAGGCTCAGGATCACATGGACCCCATAGTACAATTGGGCAGTCTAAAAGGACGGGGTGGCCGTGGCTAAGTTCATAGAAGTAATTGCCCAGGAACTCTTCGCTATCCGTCCCGATTTCATACGTCAATGGCCAATATACTGCCATTGACGCCATCAGATTCACATTGATAGTAGATCGACCACCCCATTCCATCCATTGCGCTAGAAGCTATTACTAGCCGTCATGGCAGTAAACAGAGCTCGATTAAAGGCTTATCAGCAGTTGATTTTGCTCTGGTTCCTGCATTGACCGAGGCGATAGAATTTGGCAACAGGGGCGACAGCCGAAACTCAGTGCAAGACATCGAGCCTTCCATAACATGGATGTTTCTCAGGTTTGACGCCCCGATCAGTTTCTGGTTGGTTTGGTCAACCTGGGCAACTACCCGAAATACATGGACAGATAGGTTCATTATCCCGTCTTTGCTCTCATCCAAATATCCAGATTAGAAGTGCTCTCCTTAAAGGCCACTTTGATCGACGATTGATCGCACAGATGGCGAAGGTGGCGGTTGTCTTTCTGTTCCTGCAGTGCTTCGACCTGGCTTAGGAGCTCTTCCATCAAGCCCCTGACAGAAGCAACCCAAAATGAACTTCACATGCGGGCATTCCCGATCATAACCACCTTGAAAGCACATGGAATAGAAAACGTGAGTTCCGAACTCGGTAGATCCCGTGCCAATGTCAATTTGGCCGTTCAGCTCTCCTTTTTAGTGATGCTACTCTACCCCTGATTCTGTCATTGTGTCTTACCCTGAAGAGGGCCGTTTGCGACTGAAGGCTGGATTTCACGAGAATCCGGATTGAGAAGAATCCTAATAATTCATAACACTGACTATATCGACAATGAAACATAACCCTTGCGGTTTACTTGTGTTGGTGACTTGATGTTTATGTTAAAACAAGGTCTATTTCCCGACCTATACACAGCATCTCCCCTCAGTGACCCCTTATTTTTTTTAAGCCATCCACATCCCACAATCCCGGCACTATTTGATATAACAATCTTCTGAATGGCTTCACTCTTACACAATCTCAGCCAAATAAGATCAACAAAAGAACTGATTTATTTTTCAGATGGTATGTCACAGTGCTCCACCGGCTGGTAGCCCATCCCACCACTCTCGGTTTCCTACTCAAATACAAAAAAGGAAATATAGATGATGCCGTCGTCCCAAGCGGAGACGTGTCTGTCTTACATTCACCCATCAACGCGTTTCCATCTTCCCGTTCCCCGATCCGCATCCACACCCGTATGTGAGTGCCGGTCCACCAAATTAGAACCGGTGCGACTTGGCCTTGGCTCGGTAGGCTGTCCAGCCGACGTAGGCGCCGCCGACAACGATGATGAAGAGGATAATCTTGGTGAAGAACCATGTCCAGCTGCCGCCCTCCTTCTGAACATTGCTCTTGCTGCTGCTGCTCTTGCGGCCCTTGTTCTTACCACCGGGAGACGCCTTGTTGCTGCTGCCAGGCTGAGTGTACAGGTTCTTGGCCGAGACCGAGATAATATCGTGGTTGTCGCTAAGCTCGCCAGTCTCGGCAGTGAAGCCGACGTAGGCAATGTTGGGGATCGCAGGGGGCTCGTCCAACTCAAAGCAAGTCTGCCACTCATCCTCAACCTTGTACTGGAGCTCCAGCTTAAGCTGCTTATCCTGGAAGTAGGTCAGGCGCATCTTGGTAGGGATGCTCGCATGTCGGATGCCGCGCGCCGAGCAGCCAGCGAGCTCGGTGTGCTTTCCGTCGTTGGACTTGTCGTACGTGGTCTGGCCGTCGCCGTGCATGGCCATGACATAGGGGAACACAACGCCGGGGCGGTTGTTCTTGTAGGTGTCGACAAAGATTCCGAGACCCTCAAACTTGTCCGGTCCACCAAACACGGTTCCCTGTTGGGCTCGCTGGCGGGTGATCCACATGGCGAAGCCATCGCCGTAGAGCTGGTTCTTGCCCGAGATCTTGAACTCGACCTCAACCTGCCAGTTCGTGGCGGTGAGGGGCACGCGAGAGTACATCCATCCCGATTGCGACGGGCGATCCGAGGTCAGTCGAATGTACCTATGATATATGTCAACCCATGATCAAAGTGTCGCCATTGTCAGGGAGTCGGGGAAGCGTACGAGTCGGTTCGAATGATGGTGTCTCCTCCAAAGTCGTACCAGCGGCTTTGCATATCCGAGTCGAGGTAGGGCTACAGGGTCATATAGCATTAGCCAAGGTGTCGATCTGTCATGCTCGCGTGCGCCGCAACTAACCTGGGTCAAGGAATGTGTCCTGAGCTACAAGTCGTGAAAGTCAGCAAGAGTCCATGTCCGCCACGCAAACGAGAAAACATACCGAAATGCTCTTAATGTTGCCATCTGGCTCAGCAGCGCTTGCGGTCCAGGCGAGCGCACCAAGAAGCGCCGCCGATAGTGAGGGCAGCCGCATCATGAAAGCTGTGCCTCGATTTCCTCCGATTAAGCTGTTCGTCTCGATAGGGGCCAATGCGAATGTTGGCTCGGTACAGGCGCACGCCGCTCGTCTGCGTGGCTAAGAGATCGCGATGCTGGTGAGGAAGGAAATTGACCGTAGAGGTCGTGGTTGAAGTCGTCGTGACGTTGTGGGCAGGGTAGGTAGGGGGTTGTTAATCGGTAGCAGGAGCTAGCACAAGTGTCCTCTTCCTCTGGCCGAGCCGATTTTAGGTGTGCTCTCCACAGTAGTACCTCCGTACCTTCTTTTCAGGTGCCTCGACCGTGCTGGCGGGCTCATGGGGCCCCTGATTTGGAAACCCTGCTGCCACTAGTTTGACGGGTCAAGCCACATACGCCACAGCCTCCTACTCACACCATGGATCTCTTACCCGTGGATGTGGTGAAACCATTCTATGACTCGAGGATTATAGTAGTTGAGAAGTTTTGAGGGAAATCAAATAAGGGGGTCTCCTATCATATTTAGTCTTTAGTTCCAGAACCATAGAGGATGTAAAGCCACTCGACGAGTTTCATCATGGTCATGGGGATGCGTGGCTGAAAAGCATTCTACTCCATGGTTGTCAACCAACGAATACTTGTCCTTGGGATCTGTAGTGTCATATGATAGTGAGCCACTTTTTCCCGGAAACCGAATTATAGAATAATTAGGTACCTAGCCAGTGTTCACACGAGTATCCAATTCTATATTCACCTTCAAAAAGATGTGTCTGCCAGCAGTCAAGTTGATCCTCGTGGCTTTTCTTCACACATTCCATATGAAATCATGTCGAGCATTATAGTGATCGAATGCTAGTACGGTGAAAAGATTCATAACTGCTATCACCAAAATTAGGGCCTTCATATGCATGTTTCTTCTGCCAAAAGACTCACCATGTTCCTTGAAGCTCAGTGAATGACGATCTTGCTGAGTCATCCGGCCCATCCAATTTTCCACCACCAAGGATTCTATCGCCCGCGATAAGCCTTTTACTCTACGGCCGACAATCCGAAGCAACCCAAACCGTCAACGACTCGAGCAAAAAACCGCAACTATGGATTCCAGCCAAGTCAAGCAGGCCGTTATGAAGCAGGTCCAGCAGGAGGCCAACCTGGTCAACGCTCGGGCACTCATCGAGGTGCGTTTACACATCCAATTGACGCCGGAATTGAGGAAATGCTAACTGATCCGGCTTAGAAACTCCAGGAGAATTGCTTCGAAAAGTGCGTCCCCAAGCCCGGTTCTTCCCTCTCGAGCAGCGAGACGACTTGCATGACCAGCTGCATGGAAAAGTACATGGCCGCTTGGAACATGGTCAACTCGGCCTACATCGCCCGGTTAAAGCAAGAGTCCGGTCATTAAGAAGCGCCAACGAGAAAACAAAAAGAAAGAAAACGAGCTTTGCTGGTCGCTTTTTCACCAAAGGACGAATTGCGACCTCGGAGGAACGCGGAATTGTACCATATTGTTACAGTATATGTCTGGGTTGAGACAGACTCGAGGCGCATATCTGGACTAGGACGTAGGAGAGAAGACTGTGTACGAGGGGGGTATCAAGCAAATATCAGGGCGGCACCAATGGAATAGACGCGCTGGAGCAATGGTGGCAGGCATAATGTATCAAGAGTCATGGATGTCATGATATATATACACTCTTCTTTTTCACCTTGTTGGGGTATCTTCTAATCCTGTCCTTCGGCGACCTTCTTCTTCTTCTCTTCTTCGGCTGCCCGTTTTCGCGCGAGGTATCGCTCCTTGGCGCTCGAGATCTCGCCTTCCGTCTTGCGACTCTTGGCCGCTCGCTCGACCTCTTCCCGCTGGCTGGCTTCTTCTTCCCGTGATCGTTTCATGGACTGTTCAAGCTGCTCCGCCATCATGCGCGACTGTCGTTCTCGCTGGGCTTGCCTCCTCCCGATTTGCTGACCGGTGATTACTCTCTGTGGCCGTTCTGCCTGTCGATCGGCTTCTCGTTGAGTTGGCTCCTTCTTCTTTGCGCCCAGGTTCAGGCCGCCCCTAAGGAGCTGGCGCTTGTCAACGACTTGTCCCTCCTCGTTGATGGCCACTTCGGCGCCCTTCTCATTCAGTTCCTTGGCGATATCGGCATCCGTCTTTTCCTTTTCGGCTTGATCTTCCTTCTCTTCCTCTTCAGGTGCGCCACTCTTGGCCTTTTCTTCAGCAGCCTTGACAGCATCCGAATGTCTCTGCTCATCCTTATCCAGCATCTTCCTGTAAAAGGCAGACATGCCGCCTCCCTTGTTCTTCTTCGCCTCTTCCTCTTCTTTCCTCCGCTCCTCCTCCTCCAACCGTTTATTCTCCTCTTGCTGTTTCTTGTATGCCTCGGTGACAAACTTTTCCTTGCCAGCGTACTCATCGCCTTCAGCCTCTCGCTCGCGTGCAATCTTCTTCTCCTCGGCAATGAGGGCGTCGCGCTTCCGTACCTCGGCCGCCTGCATCAGGTTGCGCATGTACTTGGGCTTCCTCTGCTCGTCCTCCTCGGTGGTCTGCTTCTTGGGCTTGAGCGAGTCGTAGACGGAATCGTACTCGTAGACGCTGGCATCGACTTCGGCGGCAGCCTCGGCATTCTTTCGCGATGTGAGGGCGCTGGAGAGGTCGCCAAACATCATGTTTGGCTGGCCCTTGGATTTGAGCTTTGGGGGTTGTGTAGGGGGTCCATTCTTGGATCTGGCCGATTTTGACTTGGTTGATTTTGATGTAGAGATGCCGCCAAAATCATCAAACTCTCCAATCTCTTCTGTCCTGCCATCTTTGTTCGCGCCGTCGTTGTCCGAGTCTTCGTCGTCGCCAAACATGGGCCGTCGCTTTGGCGGGGCTGGTTTGGACGCGCCTGGCTTCTTGGTGAGGTTGAGCCCGAAGGCCAATCCAGGCTTGCTCATTGTGTCTCGATTTGTCTGTGCGATGTATGGTTGATGGTTTGATAGTCGAGCAATGAATGGATAATCGCGACGCGGTGTTGAAGGGTTAGCGGGTGGGTAGTTTTGGTTGGTGTTTGAAAGTTGAAGATTAAAGAGCCAAGGTTAAGCACCGCGACGCGAGGATGGAAGAAGTAGGTCGCCTATGACTTTGCGCGACCTGATGTATTAGGTATGGGTTGTAAGAAGCAGCATTTCTGGTCATTATCAATATTTGAATTTCTTTCCATTTTCATATTTCACTCAGAATGTTCTTTTTCTATGAAACATCCTGCTTGAAATACAATGCCTGTCACTTGTCCCCCTTCGACCCTTTGCGCATCCTGTCATGCGCCGCATCTCAGTGGCGTCTCTCTTTTCCGCTAGCATCTCGATCATGACGTGATTGGACGAGCAAATCGCAGGCAACCTCCAGCACCTCACATCTTGCCGCTCTATCAGCTGCAACTTTTTGCCTGGGAACTCCTCACTCTGGATCCTCTATCAGATACCGTTAATATTATTATTATTAAAAATCATGGAAGCCTGCTCTACTTGCGCAACCGTCCTCGAGTCAACGCCGGCTTATACTGAGGACGAACTATCGCCCCAGGACCGTCGAGTTCAGTGTTGCTATAGAGTTATCTGTGGCAAATGCATCGTTGTCCGTCGCCCGCCTTGCATAACTCTCTCTGGTTGCTGACTCTTCCTTCAGAAGAACGAGCGCTTTGCAAACTATTGTCCTTACTGCCAGGTCTCGACAGTTCCCTCCTCTCTGCCACAGGGCCTGAGAGAGCCGCCAGCTTACACCTCGTGGCCCTCGTCGAGTTCGAGAACGGCGGATATCTCGGGTGCCCCGCCACCATACACACCAGCTTCACCCCGCAAAGTCGCTACTACAGATGTCGAGAACGAGAAGGTGACGCCAGCAGACGATGGCTCCAAGGAGAACGTTCTAGATACCCTCCATTTCCTCGATCATCGACACGATAGTGTCAACTCGTTGTCCCTTCGATACGACGTCCCCGCCACCGTTCTGCGAAGAGTGAACAATATCACCAGTGACCACCTTCTAGTCGGTAGACGCACCATACTTATCCCTGGCGAATACTACAAGGGTGGCGTTAGTCTTTCACCGCGGCCTATCGAGGGCGAAGAGGAGGAAACGAGAAAGGGAAAGATCCGGCGCTTCATGACTTCCTGCAAGGTCTCCGACTATGATGTAGCGGTGCTGTACCTAGAACAGTCCGGCTACGACCTCGAGACTGCCGTTACGGCATTCCTAGATGACGACAAGTGGGAGAGAGACCATCCATCACAGATACCAGGCAAAGGAAAAAAGGCCGACAGATACAAGAACCGCGGCCCCTTCTGGAGAGGACTATGACTCAGCTTTGACTTGACTTGGATATTAGATTCATGCTTCATACCGCCTTGTGGGCTGTCAACACATATTTCTCAACTCGCTGGAAACCTTCTCCCAAGCCAGGGACTCTTGACCCTGTACGATAACGCCGTCACCCGACCTCCCAAACAATCGAGGTTTTTGTACAATAGCTATCCCAAAGATACCACCTTTTCCATCATTAAAACGCTGATCGTGTGCGGATGTCCTGAACTCGTGTTAGCAATGTAGAAACATGTATGATCCATCAGGGAAACCTACAGAAATCTTCCTCTCAATTTCTCGGACCGAGCGATCCAGCTCGCCCGCAATCATCTGCTTCTTGTCGTTTGGAAGCAGATTGTACCTCTCACACAAGTCGCCGTCGATAACTCCCTTCACGGGAGCGTAGTAACCGCGGTACATGAGATGGTCTCGGCCTGCGAGAGGGGGATCCTCAGTCCTCAAGTGTTGCTCGAGGTTTTGGAAGAAATCAGCATCCTCACGGCTGACGAAGGGGATGAAGACTCCGATCGTGCCCATGATTCCGCTCCACAACAGAATCTCCTGGCCACCAACCACAAGACTCGTCTTGGTGATACTGGTGGGAACATCCTGCGTATAAAAGTGACACATCAGACCAAGTCTGTGAGGAGTGCCATGGAGATAATCTCGTGCGTTAATGAGATGAAGTCCAGATTGCTCCTCATCAGCCTCCTCACTGGCCTTTTCGGGACAGCGCACAATGAACATGTTGCCAAACTTATCGCCGCCCGCTATCGACTCGTAGTCCACCATGGTTGTACATGTGGTCCACCTTGCAACGGTATCATCAGCGAAGGGAATGAGCTTGTTTGTAGCCGACTTGTACACAACAAGAGTGACGCCCTGCTGCACGTCGCCAACAACAATGCGGCTGCCTTGTGTGTTGAGTGAGACGATTCGTTGTGCTGACACCTCGGCTTGAGCCTTGCGAAGCATCTGTCTCATACCAAGGTCGTAAATGCGCAGTTGTGTGCCAACAGCGACGGCGACCTTGCCTTGGAATGGCAAGAGAGCCAGAGGAGGCTCCTCAATCTTGGTCTTGTGAATGAATTCCAGCTCTCGCCCGTCCTCCACGAAACGATAGATATAGAGATAACCCTCAGAGTAGCTCTGAGGATTGACAATCATGTCCTTGCCCGTGCCAACAACAAGGAAATTTTCGTTGTCCTGGCTGGCAAAAGAGACCACGGTGGCGCTCACTGCTGCCTCGTTGTTCTCAAAGTGGACGGTTTGCAGAACCTGTCCTTCTTCGGACAAAGGATCAACCACGTTGATGCATGATGCCCACCGGCGGTTGGCCCTGGGGTAGCCAAAGTCTTCGGGCGGGAGCACCTGAGAGTCACCGTTTACCACGTTAGGATCGGCCAACAGTTGTGCTCGTAGCTCAGGTGGTAGGGTGTTGTTATCGGCTTCGATCGTATAAAACAAAGGTTGTTCGGGATGTTTAACCAGCTTCTTGGGCGTATAAGTCAGAGGAATCGACTTTTGAATCAAGGTGTCACCCAGACGGTCGATGTTGAAGATTCTGAGTGCGTTAGCATCCTGCCTCACAAATTGCTGAACAATTAATGGGGAGAAGAGGTGTTGCTTCAGTAGGAACAATTGGAAAAAATGCGTAATAGGCCTCATTGCTCAAAGCATAGGATCCCGTTTTATCATCATATGCAACTGGAAGGGGTATCAAAATATTAAGAAAAACGTACCGTAAAGATTGGCCCTGGATGCCAACAATGCCTTCCTCGCACTGCTCGCTGCTAAAGTTCCAGCCCCATTCAAGGTCAACGTAGTTGAGTGGTGTCACCACGAAGCCCTTTGTGATGGGGTCGGGATAGCCAAGCCAGGGCCTTGAGCTCAACCCGAGAACGCATGTCTTGCCCTGGACGGTAACTTGGAAGAGCCTCACCTCCTTCGGTCCGAGGAACTTCTGACGTGTGTCCGTCAACTCGCCAGTGACCTCATCCAATACTGTCCGTAGATAGACACCGGAATGAAGACCGATATGGAGATAGAGAGTCGAGCCACCGGACGATGAGTCTTCCATGGCGATAATGGCCAATGATGTTGGGGCAGCTGTCAAAGCCTGCACCGACTTGTTTTCCAGAGTCGAATCAGGGTCCAAGCTGAGAATGCGGACGGTACAGTCATCACAACCGACAGCAAGGAATGAGCTTCTTAACCGTCCTTCGGGGACATCACCCAGGCTCAGGCAGGTGACAGTTCCGAACATCTCCTTCTTTTCGTCATACTCGGCCAGCGAGCCATCAGCATCCATCTCGAAGTAGACAATCTCTCCAGAACTAAGGGCAATGGCAACTTGATGAGCGTTGGCTGAAGCGGCGACGATAGATCGATGCTGCGGAGCTGCCCATTCATTGATGTGGCCATTTCTGACATGTCGAATACCCTTTGGATGAACCTGGATAAGGCCATCCTCACCAAGAAGTTGTGCGGCCAGTGTAGGAACGCTGGTGAGGAAACCAGAGTCGCTCACTTCCTCGACCGTTTCTCCAATGCTCAACACCAGTGTGCCGTTGGTGAAGGAAAGGACGATGTAGGCATCGTACTGTTCCGAACGATTCAACTTGAGTGTCCAGACAGCAGATGGGATTCCGGGTAGTTCCGAAGCGACGATCTCGTTGACCTCCAGGCCATGCTTGAGCATCCTGAAGGTGCTGCGAGCGCCGTTGCCACAGATGGTGTAGATCTGAGGGGCATCCTCTCCCGTGAGGTTTGCAACCTTGCAGTCCAAAAGAGGATTCATGGCAGGGATGCTCTCAACCAAGGCCAAGTTCTCAGTCGGCCTTGGGTGGAAATAGACTGGATCATATGAAGCCCTCGGGTCCGCAGGGAAATCGTCGCTGATGAACTCGAGCTCTTCATCGTCGTCCCCAAGCTTCTCAAACTGGTAGAAGGAGTAGTTGCCAAACTGGCTAGCAACGTAGAGAAAGCCGCTCTTCAAAATGCAGAGGCTGGAAGCCACGGGAACGGTGTCGAAGTACTTAATCTTCAGCCTTTTAACCTCACCCGTGGGATTGCCGTCTTCGTCCTCAACCATATCAATGGACAATTTGAAGAGGTCGCCATCCTCGGTTTGTAGGAGGAAGAAGAAAGCTCCTGCACTGCCTTTCAGCTTGTGCATGATGCCTGACACGATTGTGCGCTTGCGGTTGGGATCCTCAGTCGCACCTCGTCGACGGGGAATGGCGACGCGAAATGCTTCTTGGTTGGAGTGCCGGTAGGTAATGTTCTCTTCACCACAGACCAGCACACCACTGGGGCCATCGTTACCACCAGGAACCTGGAAGAGAAGCGACGCTGTGGGATCAACTGGGTCTGACCACCTTCGAACCACGTGGTTGAGTCCTAGGTCAAGCTCGTAGTACACCAGCTGGGTCTCCAAGTCTTCCATGGCCTGGCCGCTTGAATCTTGGTCAACCTCAGAGTAGTCGATTTCAAGGGCGGCGAAAACGGGATTGGAATAGCCGACATCGAGTGCAACCATGGAGATGACAAGCACACCAGGCTTGTGGGCCTCGAGAGGTGACGAGATTGTCAGCTCAGCCTGGGAGTTTCGGTTGAGAACATAGACAAGCTTGTTTTTCTCGGTAGACGCGATGAGACACGCTCTTCCTTTGGGGTCGCATGCGAGATACTCGCCAGGAATAACGCGTCGCACACCCGACTTGCCAAAGGTTTCGAGGTGCAATCGCTGGAAACGGTTTTGGGCTGGTAGATACTCAATAATGGTAATCCGGCCAGAGTCGGTAGCGAGAATCAGGTAATCTATGCAGATTGCGTTAGCCTTGTCCTCATCTTGATGTGACACTGTGCTCTCGATGGCGCTGCATTTGGCGCGTCTGTGGCATCGCCTTCGAATCACTAAGTGACCTTCCAAAGAGTTTTCGGATGACTTACCCTTGTTGCTGCCCGCCAGGCGGAACGCGGCGAGGGAACGAATGATTCCAAAGATATCATGGGAGAGGAGGGTAATCACCTTTCCCTGAGACGGGTCAGGTCGCAGCAGCGTAAGCTGTGAGCCTGCTCCCGTAATGATGAGCTGCTCCCTGGTGCCCGCGAACTGGCCGAGCACCGCCTGGACAACGTTGGTCGGCGGCTGGACCGTCAGCGAGTATAGGAACATGTTCGACGTTGTCGCCATGTTTGCGGCTAGGCGCAGTTGAGCCTGCGCGGCTTCAGAGACTTTTGCTTGGTCGATTGAGTCGCGTCGAACGAAGCTGATGTTTAAAGCTCGAGGCTGGTGCGAGCTTTGATTCAAAAGTTTAGGACGCGTCGGAGGAACGATATTGCGGCGCAGAACGACGGTGGCCCGAGCTCCTCGAAATATCCCACTCTGCGACACCACCAGGTCTTTTGGTGAGCCCAGGTCGACCAATTCAAGTCCCAGACTCGATTGCCCCGGCACAAAATGGAGCCTACCTTTCGGCGAGCGGCTTCTAGCCTTTGCGGGCGCTGCTCTGCTACTCTTCGGAGGCAATTGGCCACCGGGAGCCAGGCGAAGCCATGGATGAGGATATCAGCCCATCACATCCGAAGCGTCCATTCGACGACCAAGGACCCGAAGCGACCTACACCTGCTCAAAGGGACTTTTCGACTACGGCAAAGAATCAATCCGAAGCTGCAGCTGCGAGCAAAAGCCCGGAACCTCCAGTGCGCCTCAGCGAGAATGACCTATTCCACCCATTCTCCAAGTCTCCCGTCCCGGAGTTCCGACGTCGAGCGGCCTTCATGCGACAGCATGCCTACTGCCCACACCCCGATCACCAGCAAACGAAGGTTCCGACTATCGCCCCCCAGCAAGAAGATGCCAAGCCCCAAGGCGGCACCCAGGCACCGGCCCATGTCAACTTTGACTGCCCTGACTGTGGACTTCCCGTTTACTGCTGCGAGGAACATTGGATGGACGATTACGAGAAGCATCTTGAAATTTGCGATACACTTCGACAGATCAACGAAGATGATCATGACTTGCGTTCTGGCCGAATTTTCCATGAAGCAAACCTTCCGGACCTGCAAATGGAGGACGCCGCTATCAACATGACAAACTGGGATACTTTCATGTACACCAGAGAGTTTGATGCAGTCAACTCGGATCGTTCGATGAGACAGATTACCCGTCTCTTGACATACCCTGTGACGATTGGTAGTGTTCTTCACGAGCTTAGCCCGTATAGCATGAAGAAGGGGGAACGATTGACAGCAGAGGGATTGAAGAGTTTCAGCGGTTGGTGCTACAGCTTGCCCTGGCTAGATATTGCAAAACTAACATATGATGATAGCCTTGCGGTACAACCTGCACCCCCCCAAGTCTGGTCGAGGTTATGGCGTCAACCAGCTCCGGCCTGAGCCCCCACCTGTGAGACTTTTCATCCTGGGAGCTCGTGCTGAGTCGTCTCTGCCGCGACCTGCTTGGGTGCAGTTGGCACACATGTTCCCCGAGGCCCGACTTCACCTCATCTTTGTTGGACCAGAGAGTATGGCCAACCGTGATGATGAGTTTCCACTGCCGGAACGCACTCCATCGAACCCCTTTGGAGCGGTGGTGGAAGATCGTGTCTGGTACAAGATGAAGATTAGCACGATCGTGGATTACTACCACACCCTCCACAAGACCCAGCACTTTGCGCCTTACGATCCCTACTTTGATTGCTTTGTGCTCTTCCACCCTGGTCTGGGTCACCCTGCCAGCAGTCACGAGTGGGAGGAGACGCTTCCTCTGCTTCTCGAGACCAAGGTTCCTATCATCAGCACTGGATATACCCAGTTTGATATGGAGCGGGATGTGGAATGGGTGAACAAGAAGTCGAAGGGAGAGTTTGATATTCTTCTTCAGCCCGGCGAGAACGTCTTCCGAAGTCTTCGATGGGATCTGAATGACATGGATCCCCAGGATATCAGCTGTGGTAACTGGGGTGTTTGGGCTTTCCGTGGCAAGAGGTATGCTGTCGCTGATTGTCCTTACTGATACAAACGCTAACTTTGACTTTACAGATATGAGACGACGGTTAAGAACGAAGAGTAAAAATGTGAACATGACTGATGTTGGGAGGAGTTGTACCCATATTGTACAGAATCTGTAGCATATAGTCGAGTCTGGATAGACCAGACTGAAGGCATCCTGCTTCTTACTTATTGTGAGGAAGAAGTAGAAAATAAGAACATCTCCTGGACCTTGATCTTTTAGCGATTATTCATGACTGATCTGCGAGGCTTGCATTAATTAAATCCTTCAGAATCAAGCTTGCTTAATAACAACTTCAATGCCATGCCGTCGCCGTAGCTAATACAGGCAAAGCAGGTACGAAGACATGCCTCCCCCGCGCCTGCAACGCACGGTTCAGGCAGGGCAGTAGCGAGCGAGCGAGCGGGTCAACCCGTGCCGTGGGCGGGCAGGAGCTTAACACGGCGACACTACATGCGACCATGCTGCGACCTGTTGTTAAGTCAACCTCCAACCTCCAAACCAGAGATAATAACTCCAACGACGTCCGCCGCCCTCATTATAATCCGCCTCCGACGCCGGGCCATGATTGCGAGGCCCAGCCGATCGTCCCGGTCATGACCGCCGCTTCTCCCGTGGCCGCGGCCACTCCTCCTGTCCGCCCTCCGGCCCCACGTCCCAAGACCGTCGCCTTCGAGGGGGATGCGCCGTCTTCTGCTACCTCACGCCGGCCGAACCGCTCGAGCTCATCCGATCCGCTGTCTGACCGAGCGACATCTCTTCTGATACGTCGCACGCTGTGCTCACCGCAGCTTGGGGACAAGAGCCGAGATACGCAGGTGCCCATCGAGGAGCTGCTCCCGCCTCTGACCAGCCGCAACGATGTCGATCTTCAACTATACGCATTCCTTGCCATTATTATGAGAGAGTTTGTCCAGAGCTGGTATAGCAAAATCACCTCGGACGAGAACTTTGTGTCAGAGATTTTACACATCATCGCCCACTGCTCACGGGCGTTGGAGCAACGGTTTAGGAAGGTTGATCTGGAGAGTCTTCTACTAGACGAGATACCTGACTTGCTGGACAAGCACATCACTGGTGGGATCTCTACGTTCTAAATGATCTTGATACCGTCTAACCGCCACCAGTTTACCGTACTGCACATAATGCTGTATCGAGGCCGCCTGTAGAGGTGGACCCTCGAGAGGCGTATCATGCTCTATGCCCTCTTCCACACCTTGCGCCCGTTCCTCGTTCAGATGACCCGGACATAGGATCAGATCAGAAGGTGAACGAGGCGCTCTACCGTCAGCTGCTCGTTCAGGGCGTGTTGGCCATCCTGCTACCAACCGAGGACCTGGAGAATCCTTGTCTCACAGCCCTCGTCGAGCAGATCTTTTCCGAGCTCATCATTGGCAATGTCATTGCCAATAAAACCTCTCAGCCGTGGCTGTTATACGAGGGAATCTGCATCTCAGCCAGGGTGATACGAGAGAGGAAGGAAAAAGGGGCCATGTCAGAGAGTTCAGGTGAATCTCTGGAGCCTCAACTCGAGGTCAAGGGCGGTCGTGCGTGGTCTGTACGCTCCATGTTCCTGGGCGTGATTCAACTAGGTATGCTGGTCGTGGGATCGCTTCGTTTCATCACCACGGCTCTTGTTATGGCGTCGTCTCTTCCCGCTAGAACCACTCCCTTGGAAGAAAGGGACGATATGATGGATCACGACAAGTCGGCCGCTTCCATCTCATGCTCCAACCCGAGGTCATCCGACACGGCCAAAGCCCCTATCCTATCGTGTCGAATCTGGACCTGTCTTGGGAACCTGCTCGAGTTGAGCATGCGCATGCCTTGGCTTGCCGGGTTTCTGTCGCTTCTCCAGTACGGCGCGATTAACGGACCTGGACGAATAGCTGGTCACGATGGGCCTGTTGACAGGTAAGATATGATCATTCCTTTGAGTTTCTTGATGGACTCTATTACCCCTTCATTCACCTCGCATGAGTGCCGAGTCACTGGACCTGTTGATGCTCCAGTGAGCTTTCAGAACAGGGATTCTTCAACGGCTTGGTGAGGCAAATCGGGCCGCCCGGTGGTTTACGGCCCATGCCGTCCGTCTTGTTTGTTCAACGATAAAACGTTTTTGGCGCACACCCTCCTTCGCAATCCACATTCAGTCGGTCGCAAGCGCACGAAAACAGGGCAAGACGATTTCACTATCGACGTTTGGTGTCTCGAACATGGACGGGATGGGTCTTGAGAAGCAGCCAATCGAAGAGCGTAGCGCCGTCTTTGGCTTCCGATTGCTTGACGAGGTGCGCCAAGCTAGGCCGCTTCGTCCAGCAGGATTACCAGATTACGCGCCCGGCCCTGACCGGGATGTCAGCTTGCTGGAAGAGACAGACCGCCCTCTGAGCGCTCAGTCGAGAGAGGCAAGGCGAGCAACAAACAACACCAACAAGCTTGAATTGACTCTCGCCCCGTGCCGCGCCACCCGAGGGGCTAGCTAGGATTTCCCGAGACGATGAAAGTCGGACCTGTCTCGTCCTTTCTCGTCGAGGAGGGGGAGTGAGGGAAGATTGGCGATGCCCTGGCCTAGCCTTGCCTGGCCTGGCCAAAGATGATACCACCGAGTGGCACCTCTCAACCTGCCAGGAGCGGTTTGGTCTGTCAGGCCTCATCTCTGAAGGAACCATGCTGGTATCCGAGACGGTTGCACAACCGCTGCCACCTTACCTTGCCGACCTTGAGGGACGAATCCGTCTGGTGACATTGGTTTGCACACCACCCACCAACATCCATCAACCGCCGTGTCTCTCTGTCACGCCTCATGGACCTGCTGTGTAATATCACAGCTCCTGCATCAAACACGCCGGGCTGGACGCGTCTCTGTCTGTGCTTCCCCGCACTCGACAGGTCCCCCTTGTCTGACCTATCCCCGGTCTCAATTTCACGCCTTTGATGCTGCCCGGCTTCCTGGATCAAGATGGCAGCACCACCCTCCATCGTTGCCGGCCGGTCCATGCATACGACGCTGAGGCCCAGTGGTCCATTGACAGCCTCGTGTTACTCACACACACTCGCATCGAAACATGTGCCCCTTGCTGCAGGGAGACAAAGCAACGCCTTTCCGCTTGCTTGCCTTGCTTGACAAGGACCCCCCCACGCTGCGCTGCGATGCGATGTGCTGCACTACGTTACGCTGCGCGACTTTGACTTGAGATGCAAGCTAACCCCTTCTCTTCCGTAGGCTACTCTCTCATCACGTTCATTCTCTCTTTTCTCCTTCTCATCTCCCCCCTCTCCTGCGCACCCTCCGAGGCGTCCTCTTTCCCAACAACGCCCCCGGCACGACGAGCTTGTTCCCACCCTCCTCCGATGCCGAGCTGCGGGCCTTGCGTCGCAGAGCCGCTAACGCCCTTTGGGGGCTGCTGCCGAAGGGGGTGGGAAGCCTCTACTTTGGCGGTCGCTTATGGCGGCGCGGGGCGTCCACCGGTGAGGGGGACTCCTCATCGGATGAGGAGGATCTTTTGATAGACGAGATGGAGCGGCTCCTCCTGGTGCTGGACGACGAGTACTGCAACAAGCACCTCATGTACAACATCCTCGAGTTGGTGCTCGTGAGGCTGATGCCAGAGCTCAGCGAAAAGGGGGTGACGGATTTGTGGGAGGAGAGGCTTGGAGTAGATGTGTAGAACGATGATGATACCCTATTTTGTCAGTAGCTAATGAATGACCATTTCGATGAAATTCACGATGAATAGCAAAGATGGACGAGGTCAAGTTGTTGAAGAACAAGGGCATTTCCAAATGCACAATCGCCGCCCATTCCTTCCTATCCTCAACTATTCGAAAGGAATGTCCATATCTGAGCATCCCAAAACAAGGGGCAAGAGACCCTCCTCCCAACTCGAGCCCAACCACTAAAGCCTCCCATCATCGAGCACGTACATTCCCATGAATCCCAATGTCACCTTCTTTTCCCAAGCCTCCTCTCTCCCATTTTGTCCCTCCCCCCTTTCCATGATGACCGAAGCATCTGTCACAAAATAGAGACGCTTCACCCAGACCAGAAAAAACAGACCAAATTTCCATCCCACACTCCCCCACCTTACCCCTTTCCCTTAATGCCGATGCCTCGCAGCAAGTACCCTCTCGTCTTTGTGTGTGTGTGTGTGTGAGCAAAACGCATGCGATGTGAGTGGTAACCCAAAAAAAAATCCAAGGAGTGTTGCTTTAAACAAAACATGATTATGCCCTCCGCAGCGATGCCTTGTGATGTACGATGGAAAAGGAAAAAAAGAAGCAGAAACTATACTAGAAACATTGAGGTATAAGAATGAATAAAAAAAAAAAGACAGGTGGGAAAAAGGGGGGAACCAAAATTCAAGAGACAAAAATGAAGCATCATTGAGCCCTTATATGGCCATCGTACAAATCCCCTCTCTTTCTTGTTCCCTTTCCTCCTCATCTCTGTCCTTGTAGTACCAAGCTTCATTTCACTCTTCACGAAGTGAATGGCAGGTTCTGGAAAAAAGGGTCGTGTGGACGATTTGTTGTATGTAAAATTTGTGTTCGGGTTCGCGTGAGCGGGAGAAATAAGTCTTGGGTGGGTTTGTTGGTATCGAGTAATAAAAGAGTTGATTTGGTAAGATTTTTTAATAAAAAATTTTTTTCCCGGTCCATGTTGTTCTCTTCTTTCGGTGTGGATTGATTAGTCGTCGTGGTTATCTCGAGTAAAGTCGAATCGTGAGAGTGTAAAATATATACAACTCTTGGATATTCGTCGTTGGGCATCGAAAGGTCGAGGAGGGGGGATCGTCGAGAGTAGAAAGCGACTGACTATATGGTAAATCAAAACATGTAGTCAACAAACAGATCTAGCCTCAAGCGTCCATGACGCGAGGCGTGAATGCCAGGAGGGAGCCCCTTTTCTCTTCTCCGCGTGAGCAGATATGGCCCATCCCTCCCATTCTTGGTCTTCAAACCAAGGCACTCTCTTCTCTTCTGCGGCGGGCTCTTGTGATCATCAAGAGCTTCCCCTGTGCAGCGAGTGGTTCCTGCTGTGAAAGAAACAAGAAAACGCCCAGCATCAACAAGAAAACATTGTAAACGCATAGTCTTTCCCCCCTTTGACTAGCTTCTTCACGTCGTCTCCATCTTGGCTGATAAGAGAGCGGGCACCTCGGCGTCACCCTCGGGAATGCGAGACAGACCCCCTAGCGAGGGCCGACCACCTTGGTGCTGGTGGATCTTGAGCTTCTTGGTCAGCTGCACGATGGTGATGTAGTCGTTCGAGTCAAAGTTGCCAGCCGTCTGGATGTAGGTCAGCAACGTCTGGGCGGCACGGCGGGCATCCTCCTGTGAGGGTGAGACGGGGGAAGACTCGACAGGGGTCGGGCAGGTGGCGGTGGAGCGTGTGATACTCGAGTTGCTGCTGCTGCGGCGCAGCGTCGGAGGGGGCGAGTTGACGCTCGTGTCGATGCTGAAAGGTGCCCCGTGGAGTTCGTGCTGAGGTGACTCGAGAGCTGAAGATGGCGCCGTCGACGATGGGATATGTCGAGGTGTCATTGGCTCTGTCGACCCTGATACCTGATTCACGTAGTCGATGTTGAGTGAGGGGAACGTGTTGCTCCTCTTCTCTCGAGACTGGAAATCGGCGCCTCGTAGTTGATCCATGGGGAAGCCTCCAACGTTTGGGTCCGGCGAGAACGTAAAAGTGCTTGTTGGGCTCATTGTGCCCGAGAATGAAGACGCCGGGTTATCTCTCAGATCGCTGGAAAGGGACGTGGTCGACTGAGACTCGGGGTGCTTGTACGTAAAGTCAAAGTCGATACCATCGATAGGGCCATCCTCATCGCTCCGGCTCCCAGATAGGGGCGAGATGTTTCCCGTAGGCGAGGTCGGAGATAGAATATCCTGGCTGCTGTTGTTCTTGGTGACCAAAGTTGATAGTCGAGCACTGTCAGGGATATTGGCCTCCGAGGCTCTCCGCGTCAACTTGGCTCCTCCAATGCCGTGCTTTTGCTTAAACTTTTGTAGCCAGCTACTCGTCAGGCCGTTGAGGACGTTCTCCTGGTTCCCACTCGCGTGGGCAAACAGCCTGGCCTGCTCCATGATCTCCTCGTCGCTGACCTTGAATCCTCGCTGTTGTTGTCTCCTGACGTAGTTGCTGAGCGTGCGGTCAAAGTCAGGGTGCTTGCCCTTTCCGCGCTTGACGGCTGGGTTTTCTGGCTCCTGATCCCGCTTGAGATATTGATCCTTGTGCCTCAGAACCTTGGAAACCGTGCTGTGATGAAATGTGTCAGACCTTGTTCTATTGTTGCTTTTGCCGTTGATGGGATAGCTAGCCATCTGCTCAAAGCTCCGTCTCTGGGCCTGCCTACCTTCTCTCGACACCAAACCGGGCTCCAATGTCGGCTTGTCGAGTACCTGGGTTATCCTCGTGAAACTGGCACATTGCCCTCTTTTGCTCTGTGGTGAGCGTCTTCCTGGACTTTTCATGCTGCGTCGGTAACCTGGGAGGGTCCACAGGCGGTGCACTCGTGGCGGGTGTTATTGATAGGGGCGGTGCTGAGTAGCTCCCTGAGGGAGTCGGGTTCGTCAGTTGGCTCGGCCATGTCGTGTTGAGCATTGGAAGCTGGTGGTGGGCCATCGGGGGCGGCGGCGGTGCTGGTTGGATCATCTGGTGAGGCTGCGGCGGCGGCGGAGGCATCCTATTTAACGGTTCTGAAGGCATGCCGTGACTGACAAAGGCTCCAAAGGATGGGTACTCGGTCAATGGACTGGCGCTGTATGGGCTCTGGCTATAGGGGCTCATGCTGGTCCAGGTATCGCTGCCATAGCCATTGCTGTTGGAGCTACCATTGCTCTGGGCCATGATTGCGTCGTGGCCCATTGTCGACGTCCCATTGACGTTGTTCATGTTGTAAATGTAATGTTATATCTGTCTTGTCTTCCAGCTAACACTGGGGTCAATAAGAAGTACTGTTTTCGCGGTAGCTTAGCCCCCAACAGAGCCAGCAGCAGCAGCGAGTTCCTGTCCACAGGAACAATCAATTGATGGGGGGGGGGCGAGACCTGCGCCGGTTGGTTGTGTATAGAGTTGAAAGAATAATCAGGCTCCGAGATGGGGAGCTTCCCTCGAGATGCTGACCACCAGATAGATTTATCTGGGGAAGGACGAGGGAATAGAGACTTGGTGGGATGGGCCCTCACGTTTGATACGAGTTGTCGATGAGGAGATGCATCGTCTTGCCCAGATTGGTCCCTGAAAGTGCAGAAAAGGGAGGGGATCGATCCACGTTTGCTGTCGATCAAATCAACCCAACCAAGTTCCAACCAGGGGGTCGGATAGAATGGTGGTGTTGGGGGCGAGAACAACTATCTGGTGCATGCACTCAGACGCAGACAGACGCAGCCTCTTCTCCCAAAGACGGGGTCGTGGATCTCTCTCGTCTTTTCAGGGCTGAGGGCTGCAGAACAAGCAAAGACCTGTTCTCTCTCTCTCTCTCACCTGTCAACTCTTTCTGGCCAAGCTCAAGACTTGGGACTCCTTTCTTCTGACGTAGGGAGGGGGGAGAGAAAAAGTGACTTTCTCTCACTCTTCCCGTCTGCAGTCCCACGCGGCGGATGCTCCCCTCAGAAAGTGAGACAATGGCCGGGAAGTTTCTTCTAGTTTGCTTTTTTTTCCCTCTTGCTTCCTTTCTCTCTCTCTCTTTTCCCCTTCTGTTGCACCTCGTGGAGATTGCGGAGACTTTGACCCAAAAGGTAAACGCGGCAGGGCGAGAGACGAGACAAGACAAGACAAGACAGGACAGGAACGGAGGTCGGTTGGTAATAGTGTGGAGGTCGTCTCTGGTGCAGTGCGTTTGTGGTGGTGGTGCGGGCGGACGGGGAACAAGAGACAGCCACACAGACAAAACAGGGCGGCAGACGGGACGACGGAGAAAAAAGGACCAGCTGCGTAGCTAGATCCGGACGACAGAGTTTCGATGGCGGGTGCCGCAGACTGGAGGCGGACGTTCCAGCACGAGGGCCAGACCGTTGAGTATAATCGTTGTCTTGCTGTGCTGTGATGCGATGCGAGGCCAAGTGGTGGTGAGTGAGACCTCAAGCCCTTTTCACCGTGCTACATATGTAAAGACGAGGCCCCAGAAAGGTCGACGACCTGGTCCATCTACATATGTATGTATATGGGATGGGATGCAGAACGCACGAGGAATACCGGTGCCAGGATGTGGGGGGGCCTCTTGCAGGGGGGGGGGAGGGGGTGTGCCAGAGATTAGAGGGAGTGTGTGGACTCTCACTCTAGAGGTGAATCTCTTAGAGGTCGACTTGGTGTGAGTGTGAGCGAGTAGCAGTGGTGGTGGTGGTGATGGTGACGGGATAGGATAGCATGGCATGGGGGATACAGAGAGATATGAGAATGACGGGGAAACCTGGTTCGCATGGGGTATGACAAGCAAGACAACCGATGGCGATGCCTCCAGGGCAAGACCTCTCATCCTCCTCCTCCCTCTCACACGCGCCTATGTACATACACAGCACAGACAGGCACGACGCACGCACACACAGACACACACTAACAAGCGCGGCAGATGAGGACGACCGGCCGACCGACGACCGACAACGACCAAGAGGAAGAGACCGGGCAGGGCATCATGATGGCTCGGGGGTGGACCACCGGTGAGCCAGGGTCCAACTGCTTCCTCTCCCTCCCTCTTCCTTCTCGTCTGTCATCCCTCCTCCAACCCCGGCAAGGTAAGGTCGCCGCTCGCGGGAAAAGCAACTCACAATCGTCAGCCGTTGGGAAGAGACGGCGTTGCGTGGGTTAGACCCCCCCTGGTCAGCGCCAATCTGATAGGTGAGGTGAGAGACAGGGCAGGCGACCTCTCAAGGAACAAGAGACACAAGCTTTTGATCAAGAAAAGGTGGAAAAAAAGAAAGCAATGGACCAAGAGGAAAGCAAAGTCAGTGTCAGGGCAAGACTCTTCTCCCTCTCTCTCCCTTGCATATCCCAGGAACCTTCTCCCGTCCCTCTTCCTCTTCTCTGGTGTCTCACCCGTTCCGGACGAACCACCGTCGACTCTTCATTTCCTCATTCCCCTCTTGGACGAACCGGCCCTGCTTTCTCTTCGAGAAGGGGTTAGTTGGGATACATAGGCCCATGATTACAGACCTGGGCCCATCAAGATGAGGTCAGAAGAAAGGACGGGGCGTGCCGAGTCGAGTACGGTACCCGCTGCTGGCCCCCTCTCTCGCTTCTTCTTCTTTTTTTTCTTCTTCTTTTCTTTCCCACAAGCCGCGAGCACGAGCACGAGGCATGAGGCATTTCGACCAGGGCCTAAACAACTCTGTTCCTCTTCTCTGGTCTGGTTGGTGCTTCGCAGTGGTTCAATGCCGACATGACATCGTTCCCCCACGAGAGGGACCACTCTGCTCCGAAGCAAGCAGGGTGTGTAATACTTCCAAGCAGGTGTGTGGGTGCTCCAAGAGGGGGAAGGGGCCCCATGCTGGCTCAAGAACAGGACCGACGCGCGCGGGCTAAAAAGATAGTCGCCTAGCAAGGCCACCAGCTCGCTACTCTCATAGGGCATCTCTCACTGCCCTCAGAGTGCGGCGCCGGCGCCAAGAGCCATGCCTATTCGACAGTCCAAGATGGCCTGGGCTCGACTGGGTTTAAACTGGAGAGGCTATGGTGGGAGGGGGCCATAGAGTCAGGCCCTTTCTTCCGAGAGGGAGTCCACCACGAGTGGACCAGGTCACCTGCTAAGCCAGATCCTCCCCAGATACGAAATCCATCCCGCCCTGGCCTGAGAGAGTCAGACTGAGCCTGAGCATATGAGCCCGCGATATCGACATGCTGCTTCCGGTATAACGCCCCTCCCTCCCTCTAGACCGATGCCATGCCATGCCATCAGACGGACGGAAGAGCACCGACCGCGCTCGCTCGCTTGCTTGCTTCCCCCCTACCTCTTCCCCCCCAGCAAAGATCGACTGATGGGCCACGGATGAGATACATTCAGCAGCGACGACGACGGCGGGAGGTCCGGCTTGCTCATGGCATGGACAAGGGTCTCGGGCAGCCCTGGTCCCTGACCGACCAGAAGCAGGACTCCAGGATGATAATCATAACCCAGGCCAGCCGCCCGCGAGCAACAAAACCCGAAAGGTGTTGAAAAGGGTAAGGCGGCCAATGTCACTATTTAGCTTCTTAGCCTCAGGCACAAGAGCCGTTCCCTTCAGCTCTGCTTCAGCCTTCAGCCTCGGACGGGCCAGCTCGTGGCCTCGTTCGCCCGCCGGTTGGCTGTCCGGCCCCCCCTCTTCCTTCACCTCACCGTCCGTGGTCCATTACTTGCTTCTATTTCTTCCCCGAACGCCGGACTCTGTCGTCACGGTGCCCTTAAAGACCAATGCCCGTCCGGATGGCGAGATCCGGCTCTCGCGCCTTGTCTCATCGGATGGGGTCAGGCCTGGGGCGGAGATGATGGGTGAAGGGAAGAGGGGAGGGGGGGCAGACGAGAGCCACTCATCAGCGAGGCTCTGGCGGTTTGATTCGCTCAGCCTTGTCCTTTGTGCGCCATGTCCTGGCCCATCTCTTCTCCCTTCCTTCTCGCGTCTTTCCTCGCCTCGCCTTTGCCTCGTGGTTCCAGGGTGGTCGAGCCATGCTCGGGCCTCACCACCACCCACCCACCCACCCCCATCTTCCAGGCTTGACGAGGCACGTTTTTTTCTCACACTCTTATGCGTGCGTGCGCTGACCATGTCATGGATGGGAGCAACTGATCCCCGATGCGATGCTCGATAATCCCGGGACACTACGCTGTCGTTGGTCTTGTACCGTTCTTCCTGGTCCGTCCCCTGGCCAAGCCCGTTCAGCGGCCTGGCTTGGCTTACTGGCCAAAGTCTAGCGCGGGCAAACATCGTGGGCCGTGGAGATGTGCCGCCCCATGATACCTCGATAGGTAGTAGCTACATACCAGGACGGACGGGAGCGAGTCGTAGCCATGTTACTCTGTAACGGACTGGGCGCACGTGTGGCCGTGGTCCACTCGACAGCCCTCTTTTTTTGAGTTGTTGGTCTGTGTTGTGAATCAGCTCGTGACGGCATTAGCATTAGTCTGAGCGAGATGCGAGTGTTTCGTTCATCTTGATCGGTCTGCAGTGTTCAGCAGATAGTCCGTCCGCGATGGGCACTTCCCCCTTCCCTCATCTTGATCTCGGTGTCGTCGACCTGCTATAGGCGAGCAAGCAGCCATCCGGCGTCTCTCGCAGACACACCTTTTGAGTAGAGCAAGCAAGCAAGCAAGCAACATGATGACATGGTGCTCGGGATTCCGCAACTGGAATGACGGTGGGTCATAGCCTGGTCTCGTCCATCCTGTCCTATCCTATCCCATGCCATGCCCTGTAGAACTTGGTGTATGGATTACCGAGTAGGTACTGTACTGTGCTATACTGTACGGAGTACTGTCCGTCCGATGTCTGAATGGATACCTCTCCTACACCTGGTGCCTCGAGTCGAGACGAGAACCGAGACGAGACGGAGATCTACCGCTACTCTGCAACTGCAGCAGCAGGTAGGTAGCAATCAAGAACCCAGAGCCGGGGGGCTTGACATGGACAGAGGCAGACTAGTGGGACGGGCCTTTCTGGAGCCAGTTTGACAGCCGCCGCCTGCCGCCATCCATCATCCATCGCTCATCGCCAGTCGACGTCGCTCGCCATTCCGCCCCCTGTCCTGTTCAGCAGGAGAGGAGTGTCTGTTGTGTGTATCCATGTCATGGCATGTCTCCTCCCGTGTCTCGCGGCTTGGCTTTTTAACCTTTCCGAGCCGTCGCTGCACCCTCGGTGATTGTCGCGTATCATTTCTTCATCTCTCTTGGGGTTGGGCCTGGGCCAGAGAGGCAGAAGTCCAACATGGAGGAAAACGGCTCTCCCATGGCTAGTCAGATCTCTAGCGCAATTTCCGGGGGAGGCATAAACGGGTGTGCGCCCACTTCCAAGCGCAGCTAGAGCCTGTCCTGTCTACCACCTCCACCCCCGGCAGACCGAGAGCCATTGGGCAGCAAGCAACCTCTTGTGCTTGTTTGCTGCCGTCCGTCTTTTTTCGACCGCCGACAAGAGAGAAAGAGATCCTGACAACAGCAGAAGCCCGCTGAGAAATGGAGGAGGGGAGGGGCGCCGCCTCTGCCCGTGGACGGTCCAATCCGCCGTCCGGCTGTTGATCCAGTTGGCCAGCTCCATCAAGATCCCTGGCGCCGGGGTCTGGTTTTTTCTTCCTCTTCCTCTTCCTCCCCTTCCCTTCCCTTCCCTTCCCTTCCCTCTACTCTGTCTGGTTCACCTTTCGCTTCCTTCCATTGATGGTGTCAGGTACCTCTCAAACGTTTCTTTTGTGGCTTTCCTTTCCTTGCTGGTGTCGTCCAACGAGTGAGATGACAATGGCAAGTTGGCGTCGGCGGAAAAAGAAAGCAACATGGAAGGATGCTTTGTTTTGCATTGCTGATCTTCGGGCCCCAGACCCAATCCGTCTGTAGTGTAATATCAAGCTGGAGCCATCCGCGGCAGTCGTTGCCTGAACAAGCTTCCTTGCTCACTCATTGACTTGTCTTGACGGCATCAGACGAGCTCTCTCTCTCTGCTTTGGCTTTTTCTCCCGTGGTGGCATGGCGCACTAGTTCTGTAGGTCCTCCATCCCATCCGTCTTCCCCCTGTTGCTGCTGAAGCTTGACAGAAACGAGGCCCTCCGCCTGTGGTGAGATCATGACGACGCGACGCCCGCTCGGCGGCTCCAGAGAAGGATCGCAGCGCGCGTCCAGATCTAACCCAGCATCTCATGACAGCGGCATCATGTCGTATCGTATCCCAACGCCCGGCGTATAACCATATACGCCCTCTTCGCCCGTGCTACCGTGATACGGCCAATCGCATTTCATCGCCTTCAGACCTGGTGCTGTAGGTAGGGACCGCGGGAGGTGAGCTTTTCAACAGTGCCATGCTGCCCTGCCGCTGCTGCTGCTGCCCTGCCATGGATGCTGCCCTGCCCTGCCCTGGGATGCCATGCCATGCCATGCAACTGCTACCTTGGGGCCGTGTTTGGTCAATGGTTGCTAATCAAGCGCAGCCAGGGGAGGGTATCCATCTTTGTTGTCTCTTTGGGCGCCATCTGTCCCTTGCGCTACCCGATTGAGATCTCATCAGCCGTCGTGATATGACTGCTGAAGAACAAGACTGGCTGTTGCTTGACCTCGTGCATGCCGTGAGCTTGTCTGTCCTGATGTTTGCTTCTACAGCAACGGGATCAACCTTATCGGCCGGTTGTTTCAAGCCATCAGCTCCCAACAAGACTGACTGACTTGCTGTGCCGTCTCCTCGTCCGTCCCCATCGCTTCCTCCTCTTTCAAGACTTTGTGATCTTTTTTTTTTCCATAACCCTAGACGTTAAACCCTGCTCTCCCATAGTCCGCACACACACAGACACACACACCAAAACATGATCGAACAAGCAAACGTCCATGCAGACAGCAAGGCCCCCCCCCTCCCTCCTCCTCTTCAACAGCTGCTCCACCTCCTCCCTCCCTGCAGCCACTCTATGCTCCTGTGGAGATCAAGCCCGCAGCGGCCTGTGAGAGCGTTCTTACCTCCCCTGCTTGCTGAGAGGGGAGAGGGATCCCCTTGTCCAGAGAGGGGGCCGCCTAGCCCCATTTTAGCCTGGCGCGGGCTTCGGGACGTTTTTCATGTCCAGAGGCTTGCCTCTCCGCCTTTCACGATGCTTCTCTTGCCGCCGGGCACCATGATGAAGGGTGGGTCGCAGAGCGGCACTAGCGGGGGGTGGACGGAACGGAGCGTGTCGATGCGAGGAGCCATGTCGAATCTTGTTAGTGACAAGAGCGGACTTTGTCTGACTCGTCGTTGACCGGGGGAGAGGCAGAGAGAGATGATATATGCCCATGCTAATCCTCCCGCTTCTTTCTGATGCTGCTTTGTCATGATTGCGGACATTGTCTCGATCCTGCTTCAACATGCCCTCTGCCTATGGATATACGGGAACAGGACCACCAAGGGTAGCCGGAGGATGTACTGTACATGCCGGGACACCTTGACTTGGCATCTAACGTGGCTTACGGATACCTGAAGAGCACGAGCCTTCGGCATAGATCCTTTGGCCGCTGCGTCTGTGTCGTTGCATGACATGATAGAGTGAGCCAGACCCGTCAGGGCCAAAGATGAAGTGAGCCAGCGCTCACTCGCGAGCTCGTCTCTTTAAGCGCCCTGATGCAAGCCAAGCAAAAGCAAGAGGACATGTTTCGGCCCCCGCCTGCATCCCACGCTTCTGCTGGGAAAGACGGCCGCAGATCGAGAGGCCCTCGGCTATGCAGGTCGAACCACTGCGTCCCGTTGCTTGTCGACATCAGATGGTGGCGTCGTCTTTGGGGTTCAAAATCTACCTAGCGTCGCTGTCTGTTGTAAGTCTTGTAGATGGTGAGTTTGAGTTTGAGTGATTTGTAAAGGCTCAAGTCAAGACCTTTTCTGTTGCTGCTGGGAAATGTGTCTCTCTCTTTTGTTGATGGATGGACTGACTGTTCGGAATTGCCCAAGAGCGGTTCCGAGTGGTGCAATCCTCCAAACAGTCAACTATGAACTGCCGCGGCTGCCTCTTCTCTTGCTGATTGATGTGCGCGCCGCAAGTGCTTTGCTTCGCCGAACTTGCTTTGCTCTGCCTTGCCTTGCCTGCCTTGCTCCATCCGGTAACCATCCCGGAGATATCTCTGCTGAACAATCCCCGTCTCCGTCTCCATCTTCATCTTAATCTTGTCGCGTCCCTTGTTCATCGTCGCCTGCCGATTAACACTTGGTTCTCTCTCTTTCATCTCCCCTGGTGCAGCCCCATCAGCTTGCCCTGCGAGTGCGCACGCCACCTCGTCTTCCCCCCGGAAACTATTGTGCCGATCATTATCGTGCCTGGTCGAGCCCAAGTCGAGACTTCGCACCAGCCAGACGTGCTCGTAGCCGCGCATCCAGTGCAGTGCAGCGCAGCGTCAGCCCTGTCCTTATTGACCATGTTGTAACCGTCATTCCATGCCGTTACCCGCGTGGTTCCCCCCTCTCTGTTCCCCTCAGCCACTCGAGTCAAGCCCAAATCAACCCGCTGCTCCAAACCTGGTGGGTGGTCGGGCATGGTCTCTGGCTACACATCGATTGCAGCGCGGCGGTCCAAGTTGCCCGGCTCACGAAGCCTCTGACGTTCCCGTGGGGAAGCCCCCCTTCATCTCCGCAAGGTTTTCTTCATCGTTTAACAATAGTCACTTTGACAAGACAGTTAGCATCGTCATGACTCTAGCACAAGCCCCGGCAGCCTAGCCCCAACGCACTCGACTGGGGGGGTCAGACGCCCCCCGGCCGGTCAAAGAAGCAAGATCCCGACTGCATCGGGTAGATCAAGCTTGACGGCCTCAGAGCATCCGTTCCCGCGATCTGCGTTTGGGCCGCCTCGGAGTTGGGTTTGGTCGGGGTCACCGAAGTAAGCTACTCACCAACATCTTCGTCACACAGCTCATGTCCCAGCCCGACTCGCTGCGGCTGATGCTTGACAGACTTGCCGTACACGATGGCCGTTTTGAAAACTTCCGTAATGCTTCGGTGGATAGCGTTACACTGGACACCGGATTTGGTCAGCAATCACATATTGGCCAAATTACAAGGCTCCGCTCTATGAACCGGGTGAGCTGGGTTCTCTCTCAACTTACAAAGTCTTCAACCGTGCAGCGCGTGGATCGGAGAACAACGGGCTGCGAGTAATCGGGCTGCTTGCCCTTGGGCTTCGTGTACACCCGAACAAGGTTGAGTTTGTCCCACATGGCCTCCATCAGCTCGTCAATGTTCCACCCGTGCTCGGAGCTGATGGGTACGGCGTTGGGGATTCGATACAGCAGATCAAGCTCCTCGATGCTGATCGAGTCGATCTTGTTGAGGCAGTAGACCACGGGAATGTAACTGGCGGGTTACCAATGTCAGCACCTCAGGTCCATCTCTACTTCAGGTGTACCAGGTATTAGAGCTCGCCTACCTTCGACTCTTGGCCTCGAGAACGTCGATCAGGTCATCGACGGTGGCGTCACATCGGATAGTAATGTCTGCAGAGTTGATCCGGTATTCGCTCATGACAGCCTTGATCTCGCCATGATCGATATGGGTCAGGGGCACGGTGCTCGTGATATTGAGGCCACCCTTGTCCTTCTTCCTGAAGGTGATGTTTGGTGGCTCCTTGTTGATGCGAATTCCGAAGCCCTCGAGCTCCGACTCGATCACCCGCTTGTCCGTCAGGGGCTTGTTCACGTCGAGCACAATGAAGATCAAATGGCACGTCTTGGCGACGGCGATGACCTGGCGACCTCGACCTCGACCGTCCTTGGCACCCTCGATAATTCCGGGAAGGTCGATAATCTGCAAGGGGGCGCCTGGTGAGTGCGTGTCAGCCGATCTGCCACAAAGCCCGGGGGGCACGAAGAAGCAACTCTAACAAGCGGCTCGCCAACGGGGTCGGGTATCAAGCCCGCCAAAACGGCCGCAGCCGCTGGGCGGGCGGGACAGAGTGGAGGAGGGGGAAGACAAGTGAAACTAACCGTTATAGACGACCTGTCCGGGCACCGATGTCAGGGTGGTGAACTCGTACGCGGCCGCCTCCGAGTGTTGGCCCGTCAGTCGACTCATGAGCGTACTCTTTCCCACAGAGGGGAACCCAATGAAGCCGATACTGGCGACACCTGTCCTGGCCACATCGAATCCAGCGCCGCCTCCACCGCCTCCGCCACTGGGGGTCAACAGCTCGCGCTTGAGTTTGGCCAACTTGGCCTTGAGCTGACCCAGATGAAACGACGTCGCCTTGTTCTTCTGGGTCCTGGCCATCTGTTTCCACGGGTTAGAGCCGGTTGGCTGAGATACGGGAAGGTTCGTCGATTATCGTCATCTCGAACACGCCGAGGGAGGGGGGAGTCGATGGGAATCACGCACTTCGGCCTCAATCTCTTTGATCTGGCGGGGGGGTCAGGGTTAGCAAACTCATCTCGTTCATGGCGCAACATGTGGCGGTTCGCAGCAACATACCTTGTCCACTGTGGTAGCCATGGTGGCGACTAGCTCCTGCTACGGTATCGGCTTGTTTCCAGGTTGTGTCTGGCCTCAGATCTCGGGTTCGTAGCACAAATCCGCGGTGAGCAGGGGACTTTTGGTGATAATTGAAATGCGTGTGTTGGAGTCTTTGAGATGGTGGGGTAAATTTTTCTGGCAACCACCACACGCGAGTGGTAAGTGATGTCAGCTAGCGGGGTCTCGGCAGCCAATCAGGTTTCAAGTCAAGTTAAACTTTGGGTATCAACACCACGTTGAGAGTTGCCACTCAAGTCAAATATTCAGACATTTTGACGTTTGTTGTTATTTCGTTGATTCTACCGTGCGTACAAGCGCTCATACAGCAGGATCGAGCCTGTCCAACAGTGTCTCGTTCCAGTGGTAGCGTCAAGTGTCCCCCAGCCATTAGCTTGTGTGTACATGACGAGCGTCATCCTTCTTCCTTACACGCGACACAACCTGTCGCCTTCAAACATCGTCTTCTCAGGTTCTCGGAAACCATCCAACCCATGTACATGACATGACCATTCCCCCAGAAACAGGCCTATATCCCGATCCAATCCTCATGGGTAGATAGATGCCATACCCCTCTTTACTTGTCATCATCCCCATGTCGACGAAGCAATAACCCAGACCATTCCCTGTCTGTGCCTGCGCCGTCCATGGTCGTTACTTGGACAAAGGAAACTTGAAAAAGCAGTACAATAACTCTCAACCATGAATCTGAGACTCAAACCCCATTGGGTGGCTTCAGGTTCAATTTCCGTTAACTCCATTCGTGAGCCCTTCGTGAGCGGTAGTCGAGTTTGTCATGCCCTCAGACGACCCTGGCGTCAAAACCCGGATGGTGCCATTCATTGACTTTTGGCTGATGGGCGATGAATGAATGCCGTTGATAAGAGGCGGGCTCAGGTGACCGTTGACCAGATGCTCAAGTCCTTGCTCAACGCAGATTCGAGGATACTCTGGGTCGTCTGGGTGGACTTGAACCAGTCCTCGTCGAGGAACCTTTTTCTCTGGGAACGGTGTGCTGCTCGTTTGTGCGAGTTGAGGCATGTCTTCGCCCACCAAGAGACCGCTATAGTAATATTTGGATCGAGGTGCGAAACCATGGAAGCGACCAGCATCTGGATCTTGCTTCCACTTGTTGTTTGTCACCCACCCACGACTTTGCGCCTCGGTCTCCAACAGTTCGCGGTATTCCACCGCAAGTTGAACATGACAAAGGTGTGGGATATTAGGAACAGTATACATCAGGTCCGACACCTAAATCGTATTAGCAAATGACATGTCAGTGACCATCGTATCACAACATACCTTGACAAAGAACATCTCCGTGTCGAGGAATCTCTCCCAGGCTTCCTGCTTGAGCCGCTGCTTCGTCTGGAAACGCAGTTCGGAGGGATCCTCGTCTCCATAGTAGTTGGGGAGTTGACGTCCGAGATCCCAAAGCTTCTCGTCGACGAGGGAGTAGAGACTCCATTCAATTCGCCAAAGAGTAAGTTTAGCCAAGGAGGAGACGGGAACACGCTCCCAAGCCGTGTCTAGAGCATTTGTTAGTGATACAGTATTGACTTGGTAAGCAAACTTACATCGTGACAGATTCAGATCCTTCTCGCCGAGAAGAAGAGCAGCGTGTGTGTTGAGAACCCACTGCTCACGCCCTTCGGGTTTTTGGTTGGCCTCGGGTCGGATGGTATCGTAACGGCAACCTTGCATCCGCTTAAACTTCTCTGCAATGGCAGGAAGCTTGGGGTTGGGGCACGTATCCAACCATCGAAGAAGAGGGGGCAGCTTGTCGAGGCGTTGGCGTTCCTGTTCCTCGCGTATCCGTCGTAGTTCGGCTTCGCGAGCAGCTCGCTTCCTTTCCATTTCCTCGCGGTGTGCTCGGTCTCGGCGCTCCTTTTCTTTTCGTTCCTCCTCCTCGCGTTCACGGCGAGCTTGTTCGGCCGCTTCTCGCTCGAGCTGCTCACGGTGAAGCCTTTCCTCTTCCTCTCGCTGCTTGCGCTCTTCCTCCTCCTTCTTCTTCCGTTCCTCTTCCAGGAGCTTCTTCTCTTCTTCCTCGCGGCGAGCTTTTTCCTCGGCCTCACGTCGTTGCTTCTCCTCTTCTTCTCGTCGTCGACGCTCCTCCTCTTTGCGTTTCCGTTCGGCCTCGCGTTCTTCCTCTTGCTTCCGCTTTCTCTCCTTCTCAGCCTCCTCCTCCTTACGCTTCTTCTCCTCTTCCTCTGCTCTCTTTCGGGCTTCTTCCTCTTCACGCTTCTTCTTTTCCTCGGCTTCGACTCGCTTGCGGTCTTCCTCCTTCTTTCGTGCTTCCTCCTTACGAGCCTCCTCCTTCTTCCTGGCCTCTTCTTTCTTCATTGCCTCTTCCAATTCGGCGAGACGCTGCTTCTCTTGCTCGGCTTCCTGGGCCTGCTTGGCTTGCTTAGCCTCCTTTGCTCGGGCAGCTTGCATCTCAGCTTCTGACACGGCTCGAATTGTATCAGCATCCTTCATGTCAACGTCGGTTTCTTCTGACTTGACATGAATCAGCTTCTCGGCACTGCTAGATCGATCCGGTTCCGCGCGATGGGAGTCATGATGTCTTTCCCGTCGATCGTCATCATGCTTCTTGTGATTTGATTTGGATGAGAGCTTGGAAGAGTCTTGAAGAGAACTAGACTTGCGTGGTCGCTCGTCAGAGGAGAGCAACTGTTTCGGTCGTTTCTCCTTGGTTTCACCGTCGATACGTCGTCGTTTCAGTGGGACTTCGCTATCGTCCTTGTCACCGTTACTAGGTCGATCGGGCGTGGTACTAGCCCGGTGCCTCTTGGTCGATCCGTCGCCGGAAACTGATAAACGATCTCTTGACTCGTCTCGCTTGAGAGCCTTGGTTCGGTCATGGTACTTCTCAGACAGTTTCTCGGCCCTGTGTTTGTCGGATGGCTCGTCGTGTCTTGTTTCGTGAGGGCTGGTAGGGTGATCCTTGAGTGATGAGGCGTTGGAGGCCATGCTAGCTCGCCGTTGCCTCTCTCGTTCTCCTCGGAGCTCGCCCTTGGACACAAGCTTCCTTCTGGGCTTGACAGTTTCGCCTTCAGACGATACGCCAGCAGCATCTGATTCGGCACGCTTCACCTTGAGCTGTTTGTGAGAAATCGAGGGAGACAGTTCGCGGTCTGAAACATTGATAGAGGGGAGGCGATCTTCCTTTCTGGGACGTCCTGGGCCACGTTTCGGGGGATGGTCGTCTCCATGATTGGCGGGTGTATCTGTTCTTCGCTTTTCCTTGGGACTGGTGAGTTTGGCGGCGCTGAGCTTCTTCTTCGGCTCCGGACTAGAGAGATGCCGCTTTTGTTGCAAACGAGCCTCCTCCTTCTCCTTGGCCTCAGCTCGTCTAGCTCGCTTCGCTTCGCGCTCCTCTCGTTCACCACGCTCACGCTCTCGGTCCCGTCGGTTGGGGGATTTCGTTTTTGCCGAGTCCTTGTGACTCCGCTTGTGCTCGTCGTAGGCGTTTTTCAACATGTGTTCTTCTTCCTTCCAGTTGGAACCTGCCCGACGCCGTGCAATTTCGTAATAAGTTTCTCCCTTGAAACGCCGTGTTGGATCAAAACCCTGCTGTTCTAAGAGTAGTTCCACAACCTTGATGTTCTCTTGTCCAATTGCTGCTAGTATCGGTGTTGCAAACTCTGGTTGTACGGAAGAAATGGGTGCTGGATCCGGGTTTGCGGCTCCTAGACTTAGTAACAATTGGATGACAAGATCGTGGCCTCCTCTTGCAGCAGCAACCATAGACTCGGGGTCGTTGAAGCCTTCCTTCACTTGCAAGATGCGAGCAACGGTTTCTTCATCTCCACGCCCAGCAGCTTGTCGAAGGGTCTTCTCGTCCAGGGGCATGTACAGCAAATCGTTTCTTGTCTTTTGTGCGCGTACAGTTCCTGATCTTCGTCCTTGTTGATTTGTAACAGGGGAGTTCCGAGGGCTGTCTGGTGCGTGTGAATCCCTTGCATCATGGGAGTCGTGGTGCGAATGGCGGTCTTCAGAGGTGCGTCGTCGTTCACCTACTCGTTTCCTTGCTGCCATCAGAGCGGCACGGATCTCGTCTGCGTTTTCCGTCTTCTCGCTCACACGGTCGACTGGCTCCTCTCCGTTCACATTGGCTTTTCGGGGGTTGACACCGGCGTCTAGCAAAAGCTTGACCACTCCAAGGTGGCCGTTGTCGACGGCGTCGAGCAGTGGAGTATCTTTATCGTAGTTGACACAGTCCAGGTTGCAGCCGGCCTCGATCAAAAGTTTGACAATATCCTCGCATCCATTAATCGCAGCAATTTGCAGAGGGGTATTTCCAGCGTAGTCGGCAACGTTCAGGTCCTCTGGCCTCTCCGTCAGACGCGTTTTGGCACCCTCGTAGTCTCCTTTGGCGCAAGCGCGGGCTAAGAAGGTCTGGCCGTGAGCATCGAGATGCTTTTTGTGTGGCGCCATTCTAGCGGGAGAAGCATTCGTATCGGCGGTGGCAGGCGTTGCCAGGCTACGAAGTTTGGAGCTGCGAGGGTGGGGACTGCCACTGGCAGAAGATTCGTCCGAGTGGTATTCCGTGGAGTGTAGAGGGGGAGGCAGGCGCCTCTTCTTTTGACCGGAGCCGTTGGAGGAATGTGAGGGCAGTTGAGAGGATGCGCTTCTCCGGTGAGATCGAGCCTGTGGGGAAATAGATCGGTTTTGTGATTCATGGTGTGACTTGCCAGAGGGAACCTTGTGCTCTTTGTGCAGGCGGGCTGATTCTATGCCTACACTGGTTGTTCGCTGGCGGCGGACCTTGCGACTCTCAGCCTCGTCGTCGGATTCGAGTCTTGAGCCCTTTCGCTTGTGCGGCACCAGGCGCTCGGTAGATTTTAGTTTGTCACGGATGGACGTCTTGGGGGGCCGAGGGCGAGAGTGTTCAGAGTCGGAAGATGAGTGGGGGTCGTCGGAGCGGCGACGGTGTTGACGGCGGTGCTGCGGTGGGGACGCAGGCGCAGAGCTCAAACCACTCGACGCCGCATCTTTGCCCCGTGACTGCTTTTCGCGTTCGAGATGGGCCGACAGACGCTTCTTTTTAATAGGGTCGCCGCGGGCGATGATCGAAGACTGATTTTTTTCGAGGTCGTGAGGCGGACAGCCGGCCGCCTGGATGGTCGACTTGGAGACGTCGACGTCGCCATCACCATCGCTCTTATCCTCCTGCCTCACCTTGCGGGCCTTTGAAGGGGAGTGTCCATCTTTACCGGGCAAAACGATTGTTTCGGCGTCAGAGTCGCGGTCCTCGGGAGCATCTGCATCGGGCGCCGACGAAGAATTCGCAGGTTGACGAGGTTCTTTGTCCTTATCAACGGGCTCTGAGGGCTTGGGGCTTACAGGCGGCGACGTCGACTTGGTGGTTTCGGGCTTGGGGTCAGGCCGCCGAGGTTCATCGCCAGCAGGCCTCGTCTGGTCGGACTGGGCAGCATTCTGCGCATCCATGACATTTACCTGCGAGGACGGCCAGCGACTACCACCATTCTGGTGATGGATGACCAGGACGACGACGATGGAGGCGATTGATTCGCACGGATGAGACAAAAGGGGGAGCCCCTATCGACGACGACAACCGAGGACAAGGTGCGGGTGCGGGCGCGGCACACGAGATGGGATTTGGTGAGGCGTCGAGAGTGAGCGAGAGAGGACACGGGCGCCGGTGACACGAGGAAAGGCGGAAAAGGACACACAGCGACACGTATTCAGTAGATGATCCGGCGGGCGTTGAAGGTTACGGGGAACAGAGTTCGAGGGATCGGAGTCTCGAGAGGAATCGGGCGGTCGGGTCGCAGGCGGTATACGAGGATGGATGATGATGGATTGTTTTGGAGATGAGATGCTGAAACCTTGTTTTGCTGAATGGATGACTGAGAGCGACGGGGAACTCCCCAAGCCGAGAGCGAAAAGAGTCTGTCCGTCCCCTTTGATGGCCAGCGGCGATGTGATTGGACGGTTCTGTGCTTGGGTATTCGTACTATGCTCTGTTAAGAGATACGGCCGCCCACAAGGTGCTGACCGCACTCAATTACGGCAGACGAATGAGCGGCGCCGTAGGCACTTGAAAGCCCAGGGCTCCCGGGGGCGAACATAAGAATGCGTCTCTCCCGTCACGATGCTTGCCCAGAACGCGTCTGGCTTTTTTTGACTGCTGCCTCTCAAGTCCCGGTCTTTTGGCGCCCGGGGGGCAACTCTCCATCTCCTCTCCAGCGCGCTTTTAGTGTGTTTAACAGCCACCGGGTCCCAACCACCCTTACGATAATGGCACCTGAAGATGACACCTTGATCCATCATCTCGACGGCACGGGGACAAGGCCAGGCCATGAATCAAATCAGTTCATGCTCGGGGGTTTGCTAAAGAGGAGCAAGCGGCATTTTTCAATGTTACAAACCGACGGACTTCCTTTGTCCCGTTCCCGTCCTCCTCCTCCTTCAAGACTGTCTGCCTACCTCCAAAAGATCGTCCTTTCTTCATTTCTCTCCCCCCCGCCGCTGCAGCGCACGTGTACATGCATATCCGTAGTGCGCCCACAGCTTCAGGCAACCACTCGCACTCGGCCTCCAATATTCTCCACTCTCATTCAACAATCCTTGCTGATCCCTGGTCGAAACACCGCCTGGCGCCATCACCAAGACTGACTCTGACCCCTCGATCCTCATGAAACAACCCAACCGTACGGAGTGTGGCATCTACAAATTGCAGGGATTCATGCCAGTACAGCGTGTGCTTGCTTGCTTGCTTGATTAATTCATTCTGCAACCCGATAGCAAGGAAAATCCGACGTGATGGATGCATCTGCCTCTTCTGGTCATAAAGACGACGCCGGCAATGGCTTTTCACTTCCACCTTCCCTGGACCACGCCAGGATCACTGCTCTACCTCAGACGGCGTATTACATCCCAGACTTTATAAGCGAGGAAGAGGAGCGAATGATTTTGGATAAAGTGTGTGGCTTGACCCGGACGACATTCATGCCTCATGACTGAACGATACCCCTTAGATCTCGAGTGCCCCCAAGCCGAGGTGGAAGCAGCTCACTAAACGTCGTCTTCAGACGTGGCCCTCGGATCTCGTCAACAACAAGCTCCTCGACGCTCCGCTACCTCCTTGGCTCGAGACTCCTGCGGTATCTCGCTTGCTATCACTTCCGATCCAGGATTCCGAATCTGGACACATCTTCACCCAGAGTCCTCATAAGAAGCCCAACCATGTCCTCATCAACGAATATCCCCCGGGTATTGGCATTATGCCGCATAAGTTGAGTACACGACAATCCGTGGTCCCGTTGCCATGATATGCTCATCTTGCGTAGGATGGATCCGCGTATTGGCCTGTCGTTTGTACGGTGAGCCTTGGTGCCAGCTTGTGCTTGAACCTACACCGCAGCAAGGAGGACGGTGCCCTTGATCCCGAGCCTGCCTGGAGGATCCTGCAAGAACCTCGTAGCCTTCTCATCACGACTGACCAGCTATACACCGACTACCTCCACGGTATTGCCGATATTGAGGAGGACGCCGACCTCAGTGCAGACACCGTCGCCAACTGGGACCTCCTCCGCGACGCTGACGCGTATGCCAGTGGCCGGAACATCCGCCAGACCCGTACAAGCCTGACATACCGAGATGTTCTCAAGGTCTCCAAGGTTGCAAACAAGCTCGGCATGTTCCTCAAGCGATGAACGGCGTGGACACTCGAGTGAGCCTAGAATACGAGAGGGATCATTGTCCACCTCTTGGCCACCTTGTCCGCTCCAAACTTGTTGGCCATCCACTTCCTCGTGCCGTGTGCTGTGGCGCCCAGGTTCACAGCCACGAACAAGAGTCCGCATAGGACCGTTTTGTTGAGGAGCTGACCTGGGGGTGCGGCAATCCAGGCAATGGCGACGTACAAAAGGCATTCGCAGGTGTAGTGTGGGCAGACCAGATATTCAAACCACCCTTCGCTTGGAAGCGTATACTTTTTGAGGCTTGCCAGATACCTATGGCATTGGTTCTGCTTGAGGCATGCCACAACGTACAGGGCCAGGGCCGATGGCACCTTTCGCGGGACTTGGATGGGTTGGTTGGGTGAGTCCCAGGATGCGAGAATTGCGCCTACGTCTTGTCAGTTTCGAAAAGCGAGTTTTTGCATATTGGTGACATACTGGAGCCCTCGATCCAGACGGCGACGCTCATTGCAGTGTAGTATCCAAGCCCAAGCGCCCAGTGGACAAACCACATGGGTGATGATCCCGGCTTTGACACGCATAAACTCTCATAAAGCCGTCTCGAGCCCTGCAATGCCATGAATAACCAGGCCACGAATACCTGTTCCAGACTCATCGATGACTCTTGAGGTCTATCTTGCAGGGTCGCAATCGTCCTCATGACTGTGCCCTTCTGGGTATACTGCCATGCCCAGAAAGCAGAAAAGGACACCGATATGATATAGAAGTGCAGAAACCATGAGTGAGGCACTTGTCCGTAGTTTGTCAAGGTCTTGAGGAGTGACCTGACAGCCTTGAAACTCTGCTTTGGAGCTTCCGGTTTTCCACTGGCTTGCTTGGCATCATTGGGTCGTCGAGGGCCGTAGTCCATGAGAGCGCTGCGGACATCCTGCGGGAGAGCCTGGATGAAGAGAATGAGGCCGGCTGAAAGGACGAAGAAGCCTTGACACCACTGCGCCGGCGTCAAGAAAGACGCAACGTCAATTGAACTCTGTAGCAGATCCATATTTAGCTCTGTAAGCTGAATTGGCGGTGTTATAGGGAGAGAAAGGAGTCGGCCAAGATGGAAGTGAGAGCATGTGCTTAAACTGCCGAGGCGTCGCGTTGTTCTCTTGTCGTACAGTGTCAATTACGCGTCATTGTGGCTATGGGTCAACGCCTGCACTGTATTGGCACGACACATCACCAACTTCTACTTCTACGACATCTAGGGTCAAATCGTAATTCTACGGGGGTGTTTACTTAGTATCACCGTTCAATGTAATTTTCAGATGAGATACATGAATGTGTTATCAGCGCAACACCATTCCATGTTTATAGCCACAGTCTAGTTACGCTGTTAACAACCTACCAAAATGGGTATTTCGTATAACCACCATAACCAACCCATCTTATGACAACACGAGCCGATATAGAAATAAGGGTACGAGAACCATGGAATTATCAGACTCGAACTTCTAGCCGTGTTAATGGATGAGCGTAGAATTAGCTCTTCGCGGCAAGACGACCTTACTTACCCTATACGCCTAAGGCGACGAAGATGGCCTTATGTTCGAGTATCAAACAGCTGTCATAACCCTGTGACTCTAATAGAACATATAAGTAGAACTTCGATGCTTTGCAGTTTTATAAGAGGAGCTTGGGTTGGGCGTGTGTGGTAACTATTGAGTGCATGATACCCCTGGTGACACACCGAGAGCTTGGCATGTGGATGGACAGTTAGTCACTGAAAGGAAGATGGGTGGGCATCAACAAAGAATGAAGACAAGAGAGAAGAGCCAAAGTGATGCCATACCTGTTACCATAATCACCATGTACCCGTGCTGTACTTCTTGAGCGCCTCATGTGTGTGCGGCCTGGTCTCTCAGACTCAGGGGCTGACGGAACATGTGAACTTCGACTCTCAGCTTGGTCATCTTCTCTCAAGCAGCCATCTATAAAAGAAAACATTCAAAATATCAGCGTCGTAAGAATAAAAACCAGAGCCAGTCACAGTCATGGTGGTCAAGTATAGCCAGAGTGATAAACCAATGCAGCCTCTATTGTAGCGAATGACAGTCTAAACAAGCAATTCTAACCCAAACGAGTGTGTGTGTAGCAAATCCATGCAATGCAACCCAATCTAGAAACAAAAGACAATCAAAAAACCAGACCAGACCCCTTGAAACCATTCTATCCCATTGCCATGCCCAAGCCGGAACCCCATGCACCTCTTTCTTTTATCGTTCGATACCCAAGCAGGTAGGTACTGTAGGTAGACAGGTAGCTTATCATCAGCTGTAGGTAGGCCAGCTTAAGCACCGGTACCCCACTTCTGGCAGCGGGAGGCGGCGTTGACCTGGGCGTTCTCGCCGAGACAGTCCTGGTACTGGACGTAGCACTTGGTCTGGGCAGACTGCCAACCGTCGTTGCCAAAGATGTTGAACCAGCGGGGCTCGATGCCAGACTTCTCGAGAGCGCGGCGGTGGAAGTGGGAGTGGCCACGCTTGTAGTTGCCGCCGTTGAGCTTCTTGCAGCTCTGCACGTAGACGTTGTTGCACTGGTCGTACTGGGTCTTGCAGGCGTCGGCGCAGGCGTTGTTCTGCTGGTTGCGCTGGTAAGACTTGCACGAGCGGGAGTCGTCATCGGTGTAGAGCTTGAAGGGCTTCTGGGTGAAGTCATCCTTCAGATCGTTGCAGCCGACGAGGGGAAGCTCAATGCCAGCAACGGGGTTACCAGGACCATAACCGTAAGAGCGGGAAGAGGGCTGCTGGCAGATGTTGGTAGGCTGAGGAGCACAAGAGGTGGAAGAAGCAGGAGGGACAGTGCTGCTAGTGGTGGTGGCAGCACAAGGGAAGACAGAGGTGGTAGTCTTGACAGGGTTACCACCGACAGGCTGGTTCTGCTTCATGCAGCCGCTCTTGTTGCAGCTACGGCCACGGGAGCAGGTTGAGGCACAGAATCCCTGGACACCGTCGCACCACTTGGAGAAGTTGAAGCAGTCGAGAACGTTGGGCCAAGAAGCCTTCTGGAAGCAAGAGGCGATGTTCTTCGCGCAGGTGTTGTAGGCGGTCTGGCAGCTGTCCTGGTCCTGGAAATCAGGGACTGAAGGGGCACACCAGCTGCCAACCTTGTACTCGCAGTCGTTGGGGACGACAACGGTGGCAGTGCACATAGGGCCAAGGGTGGTGCAAGAGGAAGAGGACGAGGTGGTGACCCGAGAGGGGTTGGTAGACACCTGAACAGGGGCAGTAGTGCTGGTGCTTGTGCTCAAGGTCGAAGTGCTCGAGGAACTAGTGCTGGCAGCTGCAGCGCTTGAACTGGAGGACGAGCTGGAGGACGAGCTGGAAGACGAGCTGGAGGATGAGCTGGAAGACGAGCTGGAAGACGAGCTGGAGGATGAGCTGGAGGCAGCAGCAGCACTGGAGGAAGAGGAGCTGACAATGGAAGAGCTGGAGATGGTGGAGACGACTGAGGGAAGGGCGGACGAAGAAGAAGAAGAAGAAGACTGGCCGGGCTGCCAACCACAAGGCTGAAGAGACTGAAGGTCGGTAGAGACAAAGACGCTCAGACGGCTGGGACCACCACACTTGAAGGTACTGTCACCGTTACAAGGCATGCTGCAGTCCGCAGGGTCAGCCTTGGCGGTGTCGTTGGCCAGAACGTTGCCGCAGTAGCACTCGCCACCGTACTCGATACCAGCCAGGGGGAAGCCCTGGTCAGAGCAGGCGTTGAGGCACTTGGTGACAGTCATGGTAGAGCCATCCATGCTCATACCCCAGGTCAGGGCGCGGCCCTTGGGGGAGTTGTCAGTGTAGCAACCGAGGGGCTGGTAGTCAGCGATGGTCTTGAGAGCGCCGCCGAGGATGGTAGTAGTCTTGAAGGTAGGGTCTTGCCAGATGGAGAGCTCAGAGTCACCGCCGCAAGTCTGAGTGCTGTTGCCACTGCAGGGGAGGTCGCACTGGTCCTCGGTGAGCTGGGTACCGCTGACGGTAGAGCCGCAGTAGCAGACACCCCAGTACTTGAGACCGGCGTAGCGGAAACCATTGCCCTTGCACTCGGAGACACACTTCTCGACAGTCATGTTGTACTGGTTCTGGCTGGAGCGGTAGATGAGGGCGGCGGCAGAGCTGTCTTGAACACCATCCGTGTAGCAACCAGAGTAGACAAAAGGCTGGAAGGGGTCCAGGCAAGGAGGGAACTCAATGTGAGTGGCAGAGGCGACGCCGGCCAGTGCGAGAGCCGCACCGGCGACGATGGTTCGAAGCGAATGCATGTTGTTGATATCAACCAGTGAACGGATGTCGAGGGCTGTGAATGGTTTTGTTGTTGTAGCAAGTGTTTGATGGTGTTGCACGCCCCGATGGCGTTTGAAAAGTGATGGTCTTAAAGAGAGTGGTGCCCGGGGGCAAGCAAGGACAAAAGAGGGAATGTAAAGTGCTGAAGAAGAGAGTGTGAGAGCGGGCTGACTGCTTGAAAAGCTGCTGTTTGATGATGAGAGGAGAGATTGTGACACTGGACGGGAGGAGACAAGGTTATTTATTCTCATGCCAGGGCTGACGATCGTGACCAAAAGACTCTCTCCGGCTCTCGCAGATCAAATCTCGAACGCCCATCTAACAAGCCATAGACTCAGGGACCGGAAGCCCCGTCCTCCCCCACAGTGCCACGAGGGAGCCATGATCGAGGTCCAGGGACGCCTCGAGGCGACGATGAACCCGCATGGCCCGCCCAGCATGGCAAGGTCCCGAGTCGACGGGTGGCTCACCAGGACGCTGTTCCTAGAGCGGGAGCTGTAGACAGACGCCACGAGTCGCCGAAAGCAGACAAAGGATCGAGTATCACAACGAGCGGAACGACTCCACTGGCGGGGGCGAGACAATGCGATGGGGCTCGATCAGGCTAGCTAGCTAGCCCATTGAGATGCCAGTGGAAGACGAGACAGAGAAAGGGCTTGCCGGCCCAGAGCCTTGGGACAACCCGAGTAAGCGAGAGATGCTGAGGCTTGAGAAGCTGACAAAAAGGTTACAGGTCCAAAAAGGCTGAAGTCTGGAGCACGTGGAGATGCCAAGGGTCCAAACATGCCCCGATGGCTGTCGGCTCCCTGAAGAGCTCTCAAGGCTGTCCCTGGTGTCCCTGCATGGCTGTCACCTTGTTCCTGCAGAGCGAATGCAGGTACCCTTCAAGCGCCATCATGGGGCCTAGGGCGATTAATGGCACCGAGGGCCCGAAGCCAAAACCCGGCGAGGCCATCATGAGTCCCAATTAAAAGCGTCCACTTGGTACGACTGTCTGGTCTGCAACTTGCTAACCACGAGAAGTAATGTGAATACAATACCATCACTGTAAGAAGCTCACTCGGCATATCTCCTCGACAGGTAAACCAGGGTGACGATCTCATAGATCCCTGTAAAACATCTCGTCTTCCCGAAACACAGATCTGGATCTGCACCTGGATCATATTCCAAATTGCCCCAACGGGCATTTACCTTCAAGCCGGGCCCGTAGTAGAGTGCCAGAGCTCTACTAGCTCCATCTCGGGTCCGTAAGAGCATACCAGAAGCTCTGTCTCTCTCTTTCGTCCCCTCCGGCCCTAGGCCCCAGCACTTGCTGTTCACCTATTCAGAGATAAGACACCAAAGCGGTCCCTTTGTTACCGGCTCCGATTAACAAGCAGCTGATTCATCTTGAACCAACGTCTGACGCCGGAAAACCCATACCCCGAGGATCTAGATGTCCACCATCGGGGTTGACCGACTACGTTGAGCGGCCGGATCTGGTCAAGGCTGAGGGACAGCAGGAAAAAAACGCTTTTAGGTTGGCAGCCTCTGCGCGTTAGTCCGTTTAGCTGGGAAGCCACGTGAGAGAGTTCCAATGTCTCCCTTTCCCTTTCTGGGAATGTCCGGCTTGAAACCCTCGTCATTCGGCGATTGTAAAGAGGTTATGCTTTGTTGCTTGAGGTTATGTTGGTGTAAGGTTTCAGGGGCGTGTCGCTCACGTGATTGGCTCCAGACTTACACGAGCTGCAGGGTAAGACCTCCATCTCAACACCTCACGTTAGAGATCAGCAACAATACAATGATGTTATGCGAGTGGAAAGAAAGCTAGGAATCTAGATGATCAAGGTACGAGTAGTAAATCGAGCCACAGGCACCGATGACACATGACACAGACCTGGGCTGATCCCATATACCTGATCTGACAGCTCGAGGCTACCCACCAACGATGACTGATATTGAAGAAGTCTGACGCCTCAAGGCACGTCGACTCCAGCTGAAGCACTACTTTGACCCCGCCACAGGTCTCATTTAGCTCCGATACTACCTCTCATGACATGCTTTTCTCATCGAGCTGTGCAAGGGTTTGCGTCGGACGGTCCGGCAAGGGCTTTGAAGCCGTTGAAGTTTTCAGGAACCAAACTATCGCCAACCTACGTTGCATTTTCTATCATCCCCATACTTTTCAATGCCCACCACCGAATCCTGGTCCTCTCGAGTGGCCCCTGCGTTGCTGTTGTAAAGAACTGCATGTTCTAGACCCTCATGATGGTAGCTGATACAGGGCCAACATGACAAAGTAAAAGTTGCCTGATCTAGACTAGAATACAAGACGCTTGAATATGCCATCGAGCTCTTCAGCCAGTGGCGACCTACTTCATTGACAAAGATCAAGTTCAAAGACTCACTCTTTCAGCCATCGACATCTAATTCAGTCACGGCATCAACCTCTTCACGTGGAACTCAAATCATGGCGTCTGCCTTCATGAACAGTGTAAGGCTTTTTCATGCAACTAAACAATCATCAACAGAGGCCTTGAATGTCCAAATAGGATCATGAAACATGTTGCTCGTATGCTGAATCACATCGAATAGATACCTACGTACTGCTTTTCCTCCCTTCCAATCTCTGGTCCGCTCAATCCTCAAAACGACGGATTAGACTGAGCTCTAGAGTACATTCATCATCTCCATGTGCAACCAACCAATCCCTTAAACGCCGATGCGAATCGCAAACAATGCATACCCGGCTGCGTCCTTCCCCAATTTAAGCCTTGTTCCTCATGTGAGGAGGAACCCACTTGCCAGGTGCCCGCGTTGCTGGCAGGGGCTCGGCAGGAGGAGCAGGGGACTGCTTTCGGTCCTCCTCACCACGTCCCTCACCACGTCCCGAGTTTCCACGGTCCATAGGCGCACCGCCCCGGGGAGCGAAGCGAGGGGGAGGAGCGGAAGAGCCGGCATCAGCCCCGCCACTACCACCCGACCTGGCCGCCTCACGGTCACGCCAGCTGGGCCTGTTGCCAGAGCCAGAAAGCTGCAGTCTGGGGGGACCACCAGCAGGGGGGCGGTCGTTGGACTCGGCCCTCTCCATGGGAGGTCCACGGGCTGGGGGAGGGGCGTCGTCGCCCTTGTTGGCCTCGCGCTCCCGCCATTTGCCGGCACCGAAGACGGGTGGCCTTCGGCCATCGCTCGGCTCTGCACGCTCTACACGCTCCGCACGCTCCGCACGCTCCGGACCCCGAGAGAAGGTGGGTGGTCCCCGTTCCTTCTCGGCCTTGCGACGGGCCAGTGCCTCTTCCTCGCGTCGCTGTTGAAGGGCAGCCTTCTCCAGCATCTCTTGACGCTCCTTTTCTCGCTGCTCCTTGAGCTTGGCGAGCTCCTCCTTGCGTGCCTCCTCGCGAAGCTCGCGCTCCTCCCTCTCGCGGGCCGCTTTCTCCTCGGCCTCGCGAAGCTCGCGCTCCTTCTCCTCGCGCTCGCGCTTCTCGCGGAGACGTCGGTCGCGAACCTCCTTCTTACGGATGGAAATCTGCTTCTCGAGTTCTCGCTCAGCATCGCGGCGGCGCTTCTCAAACTCATCACGACGACGCTCATGGAGCGAGTCGCGGAAGGATTCGTACTGAGGCACCAGGCGGCTAAGTCGGTGCTTGAGCTCGACACTCTCCTTGTGCTTCTGCTCTGCGTCCTTGAGGGTCTGGGCCTTGACCTTCTCATAGATGGCGCGGTCCTCCTCAATCTGCTTGGCATGATCCTCGTGCAACTTCTTGGCCTCCTCCTTACGGAAAGCACGTTCAAGATGGTCGAGTCGCTTGCCAGTGATGCGAAGACGCTCGTTGACATCGTTCTTCTCCCGCTCTAACTGGGCCAGCTTCATGGCACGGAGACGGTTGCTGTCAAGGTTGTCAAGATCCTCAAGGTCGATGTCAATAGCCTTATCGCCCATCTTGAGGTCAGCGATCTGCTTCTTGAGCTCCTCCTTGCGAACACGGTCACGCTCGGCCTTCATACGCTTGGCTTCACGCTCCTTCTGCTCGGCAGCGAGTCGCTTGTCCTCAGCCTCCTGCAGAGCCTGCTCGCGGAGTCGCTTCTGGCGAGCATTCTCCTTCTCCTTGCGAGCCTGGATCTCGGATGCCTCTTCCTTGCGCTTCTGAATGACTTCCTTTCTGGCGAGGATCTCCAGATGCTCCTGCTCAGCACCATCCTTGGCACGGGCAAGAGCCGCGGCGCGGGCCTCAAGGCGCTCCTTGTTGAAGCTGGGATCAATGTAGTGGCAGGTAGTAAAGAGAGACTTGGCAAGACGAGTGAGCTGGGAACGAACAATCTCGGAGGGAGTGTTCTGGAGACGCTGAACAGTGCCGGTCTCAGACTCGGCAGATCCAGCACCGGATCCGCTGTGGCTAGCCTTGGAGGACGAGAAGACGTCGTTGTCGAAGCTGAGGACACCTGTGGCATGGTCCATGCGGACAGAAAGATCACCCTTCTTGTTACCGTTCATGATGAACTTCTCAATAGTGCCGCGAGTGACCTGGTAGGGCTCGGGGAACTGGGCCAGGCTCTCAACGAAAGAGAGGTCAACAGTTTCGTAGACCTGGGAGAGCTGCTGGAAGAGACGGGTAAGGATGACCTGCTGCAGAGGGAGAATGTACTTCTCCATCTCAGCATCGGCACCAATCTTGGCTAGGATGGGAGAGATCTTCTGGCAGATGGACAAGGGGTGGAAGTCAACCTCAAGGATGTTGTACAGATCCCTGATCTCGGGGCGAGCACGCTGAAGGAGGGACTTGGAAAGGGCATCCCGGAAAAGTCTGGTACGCGTGGGAGCTTGGGTCATGCCAAGGAGGTGAGTCAGGCGGGAGTTCTTGTTCTTTCGGGCCTCGTCAAAGTCAACCATGGCACCGCGGGATCGCGAGGTGCTGATGACAGGGATGGCGAGGGCGGAGAGAAGGACGAAAGAGGCAGCCTTCTGGAGATCGGCCTCAGACGCAGGGGGGTTCTCGGACTT